GCCCCAATGGGAAGGGGGTTCCCCTTCTAAACAATAACTTCCACACTCTCCCCTTCCCCCCATCCCATTTATTTATCACCAAAATCTTCAATAAAGGGAAAATGTCTTTTATTCTATTTTAGTAGGTAGTAATTGTGCAAGCTTCTTCAGTTTTTGTGGAAATTAAAAAATTAAAATTTCATGTGGTTTTAAAAAATTTTTTTTTTTTACTTTGGGAAGTCCCGGAAAAGGATTAATTTGAATTTTTCCCTTTTTTCTTTTGGGGAAAAAATTTAAATTTGGCTAAAAGTAATTTTCGGCAAAATGAAGAGCTCTCAGGAACGGATTAATAAACCCTAAGGGGGGTCCACTGTATAAGATTATCAGTATACGTCCAACTAAATTTAAACCCTATTACTCAAGGGCTTGGGGACCGGTATAAGTTTTTAAATGAACCTTTTAAAAAACTAACACCGGTATGAAAAACAAATGAGAATTGAGGGAAAAAACAGTGAAAGATGGATATATATCAAGCATCAATGTTAATACAGGATTAAAAATTTTTTAAGTGTTAAAAGTAAAATAAAACATGTTTTGCATTTAAATGGATGGGAGATTGCGCCTCCACCCCCCAACTGTCCTTTAATGACCCAAACAGATTTTGTAAATTTTCCCAAAATTTTTTTTAAAATGAAAAAAAAAAAAAAAAAATTTTAAAACTTATTACCTTCCTTCGACTCTGTGCGAAGATTGCATTACAGCAAATTTAGGGGTTTCCCTTTTACCAACCCGATCATTACTCCGAAAGAGCATTTTAAGTCCAAATTTTTTGGTATTGTAAAAAAAGTCATTTTTTGATACTGTAAATTAAAACTCGTCCTCATGTTGACATTACAAAATAAAAAACTGTGAAGTACTATATTCATAAGGGAAAGTGCTCATCAAGGGGGAACTTAAAAATAAAGTATATTAATATTGGGTTTAAAAAAACAAAATAGCCCAACTGGAATATAAGCAGCCCAACATTTAACCCCTTAAAATAAACAGCCTGTACACAAATTTATTACCGGATTGTTCCTCCTCTTTCCCCTGCCCAATTACTTCCCTGGGAATTTCGTCCCGCTGATACTGAACCAAACATCACTTTTGGGAGAAAAGAGTATGATAAGCAGTAAAACAGTAGACAAAAATTTTTTTGGGTAATGAATAAGGGCCATCTCTAAGATGGAATGTAAACACTTGGTGATAGTCAAAAAAGTTGAAAAGATGATTTAAAGTTTTCTTTCTTTTTTGGGCACCCTGCCTCAGGGAGACGGCTGATGTGTTGGGAAAAAAAAAATTTTAAAATTTTTTTCCCGCCGTAGAGATGGGGCCCCTTTTTGAAAACCAAAAGACTAAATTAAATTTCAGGGAACCCTGGATTTCACCCCACCGGATATCGGACATTTTTAGATTTTTGAACACTTTTTTGGGTGAAAATTTGCTCCGGTTTTGTACCTTGTCCCCCGGGGAAACGTTTCGTATCAGATGCATCTGCCCGCCAGGACGCCACCCTCAAACTGGCTCTGTCCCCTGGGGGAGTTTAGCATTCATTTTAAAACATTTCGCAATTTTTGTGTCGTTTAAATTTATTTTCAACTGCGAAAAAAAGTTTTCATGGGGGCCAAAAAAAGTTTTCCCTTTCCACCCCCTTTGGGGAAAGGAAATTTAGAAAAAAACGATAGAATTTTAAAAAAGGAAATTTTAGAAAAATTTTTGAAAGTGGTGTATTTTTTTCCGAACTTTCCAGGATGTATGGAAATCCAAAAACAAAAAATCTGTTCAACCTGGCAAAGACCCGTTTGAAATCAAGGAAACTAAAGTTTTCAAAAAGGGGGAAAAAAGCTAACGAAACCCGAGATCACAAAAAGATCGAAGGGTGTTGGGGAAGGGTTTTTGCGGTTTTGGATCAAAGAAAAAATTTGCGGAAGATAGGGTTATGGGGTCGATCATTTTTCAAAAAGGCAAGGGAGCTGCATGCGGATCTTGTAAAAAAATTCCTAGAACAAGTTGGCCCGCGTTAGTGAATTTAAGGCCAAACAAAGCTGGTTCAACCCGATTTTAAGAAGCGTTAGGCCTCACAGTGTGTAACCCTGGGGAGGCTGCCCAAATTTAGACAACCCTGTGCCGAAAAATTCGTTGTTTAATTCAAGGGGTACATAGAGGGTGAAGGTTTTCCCCCCCCCCAACAAGTGTTAATTGTGGGCGAAAAAGGCCCCTTTTTGGAAAAAAATTTCCAGAGGATCCACATCACGCAGGAGGGAAAAAGGGACTGCCCCGGACAAACCTATGAAAGGGTAGGGAAACCCTTAAATTTTTCTGTGGGAATTTCTAGTTTGGGGTTTCAAAGTGCAGCCTTAACTGGTGTATCAAATTTTAAAATCCCGAGTGTTCAAGAAAAAAAAATGTCATCAAGATAAATTGGGTGTATGGGGGAAAGGTAATAATAAGGCATGGGGCACGAGGCAAATTTTTTATTGATGGGTCCATGAATTTTTTGACCCAGTGGGGAAAAAAAAACCCCCTGGAAAATAAATTGCCACTAAAGGGGCCCCCTGCTATGGATAATGTCCTGCCATCTTCCAGACTTGGGAAAACCCAAATTTTTGGGGCTTAAGGTTTTAACAGTGGGAAATTTTTTGCCTCCTAACAAACCCCTCCTCTCACCCCTCCCATGGACCAGCAGGGCAATTTTTAAATTTAAAAAAATTCCTTTCAAAACCAAAAAAAATGTTTCAAAGGGGCTTTTAAGTGACCTCAGACACTGGATTGACCCCAAGGAAAAGGGTTTTGGTGGGATCACTTCCCAAATCCTCCACTGCATAAAACTTATAGGTAAAGGGGTTGGCAGGAAGGGGACTTCCCGGAAATTTGAATCTGCTTGGAGGGTAATTGTGGGGCCCGGGAAAGTTCCCCGGGCAAAAATTTTGAAGGGGTTTTGGCTGAACCCCGTTGACCTTTTGACTGCTGTTTTAATTTACTGTGCCCCTTTGGGGGAAATCCATGGGGTTTGGGGGTGAGTTGGCCCCGGTTGTGGAAGAGTTGGGGGGAGGGGCCACAGGGAAAGCTAATCACTGAAGAGGGTGCAAGATCTTCAAATGGAACGCAAAAAACGCAGCTGAGGAAAAAGCTTTGAGGGGGAAAAGGGAAAAAAAAGAGGGGAAGAAAAAAGGAAAAACCTTTTTTTAAATGATTTAAGGGCAAAACTTGCAAAGTAGAAAAAAAGGGCAAACTTTGTTTAAAAATAAACACCCTCACCCAAGGGTGTTACAAGCTGTATCGGGAAATGTTCAGTGACAATACCTTGTCCCATTTTAGGCAAATCTTAACTAATTTTCCCGAAAAAAGAGCTCTCTGGACAGATTTTTTGTGTGAAAGGGGGCCAGTGCCAGTAAAAGACAAGAAGGGGAAATAACCCCAGAGAAAGGGGTTTGAAAACCTGAAGTCCTTATGGAGGGGGGGTTCCCCTTCCAAAAAACCCCAAAAACTCTTTTCCCCCCCTCACCTTCTTCCAAAACACCAACAAGTTTTCAATAAAGGGGATGTAATGTTCATTTAAACATTAAAATTAGTGCTTTATTTTTTATTTCTCATTGTTTTTTGTATGTTAAAAAATACAGTTATTCTTTTAAAATGATTTTTTTTTGAATATTTTTGGGGGTTTTTTGGAAAAGGATTTAAATGGTTTTTCAGTATTTCTCATGGGAAATATTACTTCAGTTTTTTGTATGTTTCGGGGTTTTGAATGACCAACTGGAACGGGTTAATTTTCGAAATCCGGGGTTTTCCAAATGTTTCTGTACAACTAAATACAGCCTTCCTCCAAATTTGCAGGGCAAAGGGGGTTTCCCCGGGCCAGTATTTTTTTCCTAAATAATGTAAAATTAAGAGCGATTTCATCTATTCTGTTTATTTCAAAATGTACATACCTACCATATAAAAAAATTTTTAAAAAAATACCAGAAAAAGTTTTAATTGTGCAAAGGTGACATTAAAACAATATCAAAAATGGTCCCAAAAAAAACTCATTACCATTATAGTATGCTCCCCAAATTACAACGAATTTTTTTAACGACGTGGTCTTAAAGGAAAAGGGAAAATCCGTCATTTAAATGAGGAGAGGCTGTAGCTACATTTTGTTAATTTTTTTTAAAAATTTTTTCCATTATCTACAATACTTTTGTTTTTGTTAACAATGGGCCCAAAATACTGACTTCCCGCAAGCCCAAAGAGAGCACTAAGGATTAAAGGGTTCCAACCCCTTTCCTATTTCCATGCACAGCATTTAAGTTTTAACCATTAAACTGTATCCAGTGTACTAGTATGCAGATGAAGGTGTTTACCTGGAGTTTACCTGGAGAGAGTTCCGGGGGTCAACGCCCCCGCGGCCCAGTCTGTGACCGGGCCGCGTAATAAAATTAAAATTTTTTGTGCCTTCCAAGGTCAATATTTTTGACCATGGCTCAACTGTTTGGGTCACCTACCACCTCTTTATACCTTAAAAAAAAAATATTAACAGATGGGTCCATGCAGTGCATCATGGTAACACTGCCTAAGTAAACAATGTAACCAGGACCTGTTGTGCCACCAACAACTTCCCTACCAACAAACAGGGTGTGCAACTGACAAGATGCCTTATTCATTCTAAATTTATTGTAATTTCATGATACTAACAGAGGAATTCAAACAAAATGCACACTGTAATTTAACCTTGGACAATCAAATGTGCCAAACCATGTTCCAAGCATATTTTTATTTTCAAAATTCTGCCATACGGGAAATTTTGCTTCTGAGTATGTCACAGTTTAAGGGTTAAGGAGAGTACAGTATAGCTAAATCTATTTGAACACAATCTCTTTACAGAGTGTAAGAAACTAACTGTTGAGTTGGATTTTAATATAGCAGTTTGAACCAAACTTCTTCACTAGTTACTTCACTAACTTCTTAAAAAATATCACATGTATTTGGAAAGCAAGAGGAAGTACCTTCAACCCAAGTCAGTTGATTGACTCACCTGGTAATGTAGATGCTGAAAAATCTGAGGAGAGTTTCCGTGGCCGCCCTCTTTTTCGTACAGGTGGAGTAATATTGGAGGGAGTGACATCATGGTCACCAAGTGAAATATTCTCCTTACCTCCACTACTTCCTAGACGTGATGGGAGTAAAGAATGGCGGTGCAGCACCCCCAGTGAAACTGAAAAAAACAGAATTAACTCCACCTGGTCATGAACTGTATATTAATTTTAGAAACTATGTATTTCAGGCTTCTTTTGCAGGGGTCTGACTGTGTGGCTAAGGTACTGCATATTTTGATGCAGTGTGTGCAGGCTTGAATTATGCTGTGGACAGAGATAATGTTTGCAAAACAATTCACAGACAGGCGAAATTATAAGTATTCCAAAATTTCTTTCAAAGCTCACGGTATTTATGTATGTATATACATATGTATATATGGAGTGTGAGCAGGGTAATATTTAGTGAAGGGATTCAGGGAAAAAATATTAGGTGATGAAAGATTGGATATCAGATTGGAGGAAGAGAGTATGGAGGAGGTGAATGTATTCAGATATTTGGGAGTGGACGTGTCAGCGGATGGGTCTATGAAGGATGAGGTGAATCATAGAATTGATGAGGGGAAAAGGGTGAGTGGTGCACTTAGGAGTCTGTGGAGACAAAGAACTTTGTCCTTGGAGGCAAAGAGGGGAATGTATGAGAGTATAGTTTTACCAACGCTCTTATATGGGTGTGAAGCATGGGTGATGAATGTTGCAGCGAGGAGAAGGCTGGAGGCAGTGGAGATGTCATGTCTGAGAGCAATGTGGGTTGAATATAATGCAGAGAAATCGTAGTTTGGAAGTAGGAGGAGGGGGCGGGATTACCAAAACTGTTGTCCAGGGGGCTGGGGAAAGGGGTTGTTTAGGTGGTTCGGACATGTAGAGAGAATGGAGCGAAACAGAATGACTTCAAGAGTGTATCAGTCTGTAGTGAAGGAAGGCGGGGTAGGGGTCGGCCTAGGAAAGTTGGAGGAGGGGGTAAAGGGGGTTTTGGTGTGCGAGGGGCTTGGACTTCCAGCAGGCTCGTGAGCGTGTTTGATAGGATGAATGGAGACAAAGGGTTTTTTAATACTTGACGTGCTTTTAGGAGTGTGAGCAAAGTAACATTTATGAAGGGTTCAGGAAACCGCAGGCCGGACATGAGTCCTGGAGATGGGAAGTACAGTGCCTGCACTCTGAAGGAGGGGTGTTAATGTTGCAGTTTAAAAACTGTAGTGTAAAGCACCCTTCTGGCAAGACTGATGGAGTGAAGACGGTGAAAGTTTTTCTTTTTCAGCCACCCTCCCTTTGTGAATGGGCCAGTGTGATAATATAAAAAAAAAAAAAAATCGGGGAAACCGGTTATTTTATATAACCAGACTTGAGTCCTGGAAATGGGAAGTACAATGCCTGAACTTTAAAGGAGGGGTTTGGGATATTGGCAGTTTGGAGGGATATGTTGTGTATCTTTATATGTGTATGCTTCTAAACTGTTGTATTCTGAGCACCTCTGCAAAAACAGTGATAATGTGCGAGTGTGGTGAAAGTGTTGAATGATGATGAAAGTATTTTCTTTTTGGGGATTTTCTTTCTTTTTGGGTCACCCTGCCTCAGTGGGAGACGGCCGACTTGTTGAAAAAAAAAAAAAATGTATGAATGAATGTTAGCCAACTGGTTTCCTTGAATCCCTTCATATATGTTACCTTTCTCTCCACACCAACAGCATGTAGTCATAAAAACCACTTTCCTCTCCCCCACAAAACAAACCTGAGAATAGTGTTCCGATACCTCAGTAAGGAATCATTCAAGACTCTGTACACTGTGTACGTTAGGCCCATACTGGAGTATGCAGCACCAGTTTGGAACCTGCATTGGGTCAAGCATGTTAAGAAATTAGAGAAAGTGCAAAGGTTTGCAACAAGGTTAGTTCCAGAGCTAAGGGGAATGTCCTATGAAGAAAGGTTGAGGGAAATCGATCTGACGACACTGGAGGACAGGAGGAATAGGGGAGACATGATAACGACATACAAAATACTGCATGGAATAGACTGGGTGGACAGAGACAAGATGTTCCAGAGAGGGGACACAGAAACAAGGGGTCACTCTTGGAAGCTGAAGATTCAGATGTGCCACAGGGATGTTAGGAAGCATAGAGTGGTCAGGAAGTGGAACAGTCTGGCAAGCGATGTAGTGGAGGCAGGAACCATACATAGCTTTAAGACGAGGTATGATAAAGCTCATGGAGCAGGGAGAGAGAGGACCTAGTAGCGTTCAGTGAAGAGGCGGGGCCAGGAGCTGCCTCGACCCCTGCAACTACAATTAGGTGAGTACACACACACACACACACACACACACACAGAAAGACGGCGATGTGGGGTACACCATCAAGTGTTGGACACAATACATACAACCAAGGAAGAAGTGAAGAGGCTGCTAAGCGAGCTAGATACCTCAAATGCAATGGGGCCAGATAACATCTTTCCATGGGTCCTGAGAGAGGAAGCAGAGGTGTTATGTGTGCCACTAGCAACAATCTTCAATGCATCTATCGAAACAGGGCGACTACCTGGGGTATGGAAGACAGCAAATGCCGCCCCAATTTTTAAAAAAGGAGACACACACAAAGCACTAAACTACAGACCAGTGTCACTAACATGTATAGTATGCAAAGTCATGGAGAAGATTATCAGAAGAGTGGTGGAGCACCTAGAAATAAATGAGCTTATCAACGACAACCAGCATGGTTTCAAGGACAGGAAATCCTGTGTCACAAGCCTACTGGAGTTCTATGACAGGGTGACAGCAGTAAGACAAGAGAGAGAGAGGGGTGGGTAGACTGCATCTTCTTGGACTGTAAGAAGGCTTTTGACAGTTCCACACAAGAGAATAGTGCATAAGCTGGAAGACCAGGCAGGTATAACTGGGAAGGAATTCCAATGGATCAGGGAATACCTGTCGGGAAGACATCAGCAAGTCATGGTACATGATGAGGTGTCAGTGGGTGCCTGTGACAAGCAGGGTTTCACAGGGGTCAGTCCTAGGACCGGTGCTGTTTCTGGTGTATGTGAATGACACGATGGAAGGAATACTCAAAAGTGTCCTTGTTTGCAAATGTTGTAAAACTGATGAGAAGAATTCAATCAGACGAGGACCAGGCGGAACTACAAAGGGATCTGGACAGGCTGCAGGCCTGGTCTGGAAACTGGCTCCTGGAGTTCAACCCCACCAAGTGCAAAATCATGAAGATTGGGGAAGGGCAAAGAAGACCTCAGACAGAGTACAGTCTAGGGGGCCAGAGACTACAAACCTCACTCGAGGAAAAGGATCTTGGGGTGAGTATAACACCGAGCAAATCTGAGGCGCACATCAACCAAGTAACTGCTGTTGCCCATGTGTCTTACTTACCAACTGCTGTAGCACATGGGCACCTACCAAACCCAAGAATAGCATTCCAACACCTCAATAAGGAATTGTTCAGGACCCTGTACACAGTGTATGTCAGGCCTATATTGGAGTAGGCAGCACCAGTTTGGAACCCACACCTAGTCCAGTATGTAAGGAAATTAGAGAAAGTGCAAAAGTTTGCAACAAGACTAGTCCTGGAGCTAAGGGGAATGTCCTATGAGAAGTTAAGGGAAATCAACCTAATGATACTGGAGGACAGGAGAGAGAGAGGGGAAATATGATAACGACATATAAAATACTGAGGGGAACTGATAAGGCGGACAGAGACAGAATGTTCCAGAGATGGGACACAGCAACAAGGGGCCACAATTGGAAGTTGAAGACTTAAGATGAATCACAGAGATGCTAGGAAGTATTTCTTCAGTCACAGTTGGTAGGAAGTGGAATAGTCTGGGAAGTGATACAATGGAGGCAGGATCCATACATAGCTTTAAGAAGATGTATGATAAACCTCACAGAGCAGGAAGAGTGACCTAGTAGTGATCAGTGAAAAGGCAGAGCCAGGAGTGGTGACTTGACCCCTGCAACCACAACTACGAAAGTATAACTAGGCGAGAGCACACACACACTCACACACACTCACACGCACACACACGCATACACACTAAAAGACTATACAACTGTAGTACATGTACATTCCAGGCTGAACACCTGAATGGCTTCATTACTCAAAAGTTAATGAGTGAGGATCAAAGGTTGGAACTCTCACAACCCCCCCAAAACTAATAGTAATTACTTACCATCCTCACTGGCTGCAGCTGTTACTTCAGGACCAACATACTGAAAAGCCTTGGCTGTGGGAACTCTCTTCACTAGCCCCAAGGATGTTAATACATTAGCAATATCATAAAGCCGTCTTCCCCTTGTTCTCAGACGTTCACCATCCTCGCCAACTTCCCCTACCAGCTTTCGCACTGCATTGTCCAGGGAAATAACGTGTGGCTGAAATAAAAAGTTTTAAGAACATTTTTTTCATATGTCTACTGCCCTAGTATTTGTTCATTATGCTATTATCCATTCATACACTTTTCATGCAACTTCCACACAAGAAACATATGTTTCAGACCTTTTGTATCACATTATGTGCAGACTTTATCAATATCCATTCCTGCAAACATAAGCTATCTTGTACAATATCATTTTGTTGCTAATGACTCAGACTCTTCCATCTTTGACATTAACCACCAGAACTTAAATTCTCCAATTTTGGTATGTAGTTGATGTGCAAATTTCAACAACTAATGGTACAATTGTTAGATACCGTACACAAAAGAATAGACAGACAGATCAGGGTTCATCATTGTATAGATACCTGCTCTGCAGAAAGAAAAATGATGAAAATTTTTACTAATCTACACCTTTTTGTTCTGCACTGCTCATACCTCATTTACTATCAAGTGGTATACACACACAATACTGACTTACCTCTGGACTGACTAGCAGGAGCATCAGGAACTTCTGGCATAATACACCCAGTGACTTTTCTCTTCTGGAGTCAATCTTGTCTCCATCACCATTGGCGTTAACGTTTGTAGGAAGCTGATAAAAATTTAGTTATGAATTTAAGAGGGAAGTATTATTACATTTATAACAACTACTTACCCATGATTTGAAACCATACAAAAAGTTTTTTTTTTAACACACCAACCGTCTCCCACCGAGGCAAGGTGGGAAAAAAAAATTCACCATCTTTCACATTATCACTGTCTTGCCAGAGACATGCCAATACTTCCTATATTTAGTAATTTATACAGAAGGGAGTTACTAGCCCCTTGCTCCCAACATTTTAATCGCCTTTTATGACATGCATAGCTTATGGAGGAAGAATTGTTTTCCACTTCCCCATGAAGATGAAAGGAAAATAAGAGAAAGAACTACAGTGGAACCCCGGCTTTCGTCTTTAATCTGTTCCAGAAGGTTGGCCGAAAACCAATCTGTACAAAAACTGAATATTTCCCATACGAAATGACGTAAATCCAATTAATCCGTTCCAGACACCCAAAAATATTAACAACAAATACATTTTATAGAGAATAACTATAGTTTTACATACAGAAAACAATGAGAAATATAAATGACTAATGAAATGGATAAATGAACATCTAACATCACAAGTACGCCACTTTTGCATTTTTCTACGAGCTCTTTCTTGAATTCTATCATGTTTCTCACCTTCATTACCAAAGGACTGGCACTCAGAGCTTTCTTTGGCCCCATGGTGGCTTATTTAGCAGTCACAAGCACAAAAAACAATGGACTATTTAGAAATGTTTCGGATGAACGCTTGGAGTAATGCTCATTGAATGAGTAACAAAGGCAGACCGAGTCACGAACATATGAACGGCTGCAACCTGCAGGCATGCGAAAGCATCTCGTATGGACGACTTCTGAGCAGATGTATGAAAATGGGGAAAATTTCGCCGAAAAAAAGTGGTCGAAAGCTGAACTGCATGATAACCGAACTGGACGAAAACCAGGGTTCCACTGTATGTACTTAGAAAAATGGAAGAAAACTCAGATGGGTGTGTATACATATCTATGTACATGCATGTGTAGTGTTGCCTAAGTGTAAATAGGAACAAAATGTATCTCTTATATCATGTGTTTATGAGACAAGGAAAAGACACCAACAATCCTACCAATGTGTACAATAATTACAAGTTTCTGTTGCACACTCATTTGGCAGGGCGGTAGTACCTTCGTGAGTATTTGCAGTCTACCAGTGTTATTAAATATACATACATATCTTTGATTGTTCTAGGTAGTAGGTTGGTAGACAGCAACCGCCCAGGGAGGTACTACCGTCCTGCCAAGTGAGTGTAAAACGAAAGCCTGTAATTGTTTTACAAGATGGTAGGATTGCTGGTGTCCTTTTTTCTGTCTCATGAATATGCAAGATTTCAGGTACGTCTTGCTACCTCTACTTACACTTAGGTCACACTACACATACATGTACAAGCATATACTATATACACACCCTTCTGGGTTTTCTTCTTTTTTCTTTCTAGTTCTTTTTCTTGTTTATTTCCTCTTATCTCCATGGGGAAGTGGAACAGAATTCTTCCTCCGTAAGCCATGCGTGTTTTAAGAGGCGACTAAAATGCCGGGAGCAAGGAGCTAGCAACTCCTCCTCCTGTACAAATTACTAAATTTAAAGAGAGAAACTTTCGCTTTTCTTTTTGGGCCACCCTGCCTTGGCAGTTTGTTAAAAAAAAAAAAAATATCTTTGATATGCCTTTGAAGGGTTTCAAGAATTTTTCTACTCTCACAGCTGGGCCCTGGGCCAAGCTTGTTTGGTGCTTGCCAAATCAACCAGGCTGTTGCTACCAGTGGTATGCACAAGCACACATGGTTTTAGAAATACTGTATTTCAAAATTATATTTACTTGTCAGTAATCAGTGCCGGAAAAAAGAGTCCCCCCCCCCCAGTACCACCAGTCCGATGACATTCTTCTTTGCAAATATACAGGGTCTAAAGCCAGCAACGAACAACAAAATACCTTTCATCCGTGGGCTGCTTGCAGATGCAAATGCTTTCACAGAGACCCACATAAAGGATCACTTGGACAACGAAATATGGATCCCAGGTTACAACCTATACAGATGCAACAGAGTGAACAGGCAATAGGGAAGGGTTGGCCTGTATACTGCAGAGTCACTTATTTGCACAGAACTGCTTAATGCCTCAAATGATGTAGTGGAAATTTTATCAGTAAAGATCTAGAACCAAAACCTAGTCATTGTGGTAGTCTACAAGCCTCCGGATGCAACGTCCCAGCAATTCCAGGAACAGCTGTTAAAAATTGACCACTGTCTGGAAAATCTTCCAGCTCCTGCCCCCAACATCTTGCTCCTGGGGGATTTCAACTCGAGGCACCTAAAATGGAGGAATATAGCAAATAATGTTGCAGTGATAACACCAGGAGGCAGCTCTGACAAGAACTCACACACACACGAGCTCTTAAATCTCTGCACAAATTTCAACTTAAACCAGCAAATAATAGAGCCTACTAGACTGGAGAATACACTAGACCTCATCTTCACTAACAATGATGATCTGATACGAAATGTCACCATATCAAAAACAATATGCTCAGATCACAACATAATTGAGGTTCAGACATGTATGCGCGGAGCCCCAGACCGACAAAATGAGATTAGTCACGAGGGAGCCTTCACCAAATTCATGAACCTCAATAACAAGAACATAAAGTGGGACCAAGTAAACCAAGTCCTAAACGATATAGGCTGGGCAGATAGACTAAGCAACACAGACCCCAACTTATGTCTAGAACAGATTAACTCGGTGGCACTCGATGTATGTTCAAGGCTTATTCCTTTAAGAAAAAGGAGGAGTAGATGTAAAATAGAAAGAGACAGGCGCTCCCTTCACAGGCGACGGAAAAGAATAACAGAGTGGCTAAAAGACTCCAATATATCTGAAATGCGTAGGGAGACACTGGTCAGAGAAATAGCAAACATTGTACTTAAGCTAAAGGAATCTTATAGAGTCAGGAATCGCGGGAAGAACTAAAAGCCATAAATGAAATCGGAAGAAACCCAAAGTATTTCTTTTCTTATGCCAAATCAAAGTCGAGAACAACATCCAGTATTGGGCCCCTACTTAAACAAGATGGGTCCTACACAGATGACAGCAAGGAAAGTCCCAATATGACTCAGTTTTTAGCAAGCCGCTAGCCAGACTGAGAGTCGAAAATCAAAATTAATTTTTTATGAGAGCCACAGAATTTGGTAAACACAAGCCTATCTGATGTTATCCTGATGCCAAATGACTTCAAACAGGCAATAAATGACATGCCCATGCACTCTGCCCCAGGGCCAGACTCATGGAACTCCATGTTCATCAAGAAATGCAAGAAGCCCCTATCACGAGCTTTTACCATCCTATGGAGAGGGAGCATGGACACGGGGGTCATCCCACAGTTACTAAAAACAACAGACATAGCCCCACTCCACAAAGGGGGCAGTAAAGCAATAGCAAAGAACTACAGACCGATAGCACTAACATCCCACATCATAAAAATTTTTGAAAGGGTCCTAAGAAGCAAGATCACCACCCATCTAGATACTCATCAATTACACAACCCAGGGCAACATGGGTATAAAGCAGGTCGCTCCTGTCTGTCCCAACTACTGGATCACTACGACAAGGTCCTAGATGCACTAGAAGACAAAAAGAATGCAGATGTAATATATACAGACTTTGCAAAAGCCTTCAACAAGTGTGACCATGGCGTAATAGCGCACAAAATGCGTGCTAAAGGAATAACAGGAAAAGTTGGTAGATGGATCTATAATTTCCTCACAAACAGAACACAAAGAGTAGTAGTCAACAGAGTAAAGTCTGAGGCGGCTACGGTGAAAAGCTCTGTTCCACAAGGCACAGTACTCGCTCCCATCTTGCTTCTCATCCTCATATCTGACATAGACAAGAATGTCAGCCACAGCACCGTGTCTTCCTTTGCAGATGACACCCGAATCTGCATTACAGTGTCTTCCATTGCAGACACTGCAAGGCTCCAGGCGGACATCAACCAAATCTTTCAATGGGCTGCAGAAAACAATATGAAGTTTAACGATGAGAAATTCAGAGTACAAAACAAATTCCGGCCACAAAATAGAGCGAAACACCAATGTCAAAGACCTGGGAGTGATCATGTCAGAGGATCTCACCTTTAAGGATCATAACATTGTATCAATCACATCTGCTAGAAAAATGACAGGATGGATAATGAGAACCTTCAAAACTAGGGATGCCAAGCCTATGATGACACTCTTCAGGTCGCTTGTTCTATCTAGGCTGGAATATTGCTGCACACTAACAGTACCTTTCAAGGCAGGTGAAATTGCTGACCTAGAAAATGTACAGAGAACCTTCACGGCGCGCATAACGGAGATAAAACACCTCAATTACTAGGAGCGCTTGAAGTTCCTGAACCTGTACTCCCTGGAATGCAGGCGGGAGAGATACATGAATATATACATCTGAAAAATCCTAGACAGACTAGTCCCGAACTTGCACATGAAAATCACTCACAATGAAAGCAAAAGACTTGGCAGATGATGCAACATCCCCCCAATGAAAAACAGGGGTGTCACTAGCACGTTAAGAGACAATACAATAAGTGTCAGGGGCCCGAGACTGTTCAACTGCTTCCCAGCATACATAAGGGGGATTACCAATAGACCCCTGGCTGTCTTCAAGCAGGCACTGGACAAACACCTAAAGTCGGTACCTGACCAGCCGTGCTGTGGCTCGTACATTGGATTGCGTGCAGCCAGCAGTAACAGCCTGGTTGATGAGGCTCAGGTTAGGGTGTGTAGAAGAGAGGGAGACTACTTCCCGGTAAAGGTAGGTCTTAGACAGGGATGTGTAATGTCACCATGGTTATTTAATATATTTATAGATGGGTTGTAAAAGAAGTAAATGTTAGGGTGTTCGGGAGAGGGGTGGGATTAAATTATGGAGAATCAAATACAAAATGGGAATTGACACAGTTACTTTTTGCTGATGATACTGTGCTTATGGAAGATTCTAAAGAAAAATTGCAAAGGTTAGTGGATGAGTTTGGGAGTGTGTGTAAAGGCAGAAAGTTGAAAGTGAACACAGAAAAGAGTAAGGTCATGAGAGTATCAAATTATTTAGATAAAGAAAAATTGGATATCAAATTGGGGAGGAGGAGTATGAAAGAAGTGAATGTTTTCAGATATTTGGGAGTTGACGTGTCAGCGGATGGATTTATGAAGGATGAGGTTAATCACAGAATTGATGTAGGAAAAAATGCGAGTGGTGCGTTGAGGTATATGTGGAGACAAAAAAACGTTATCTATGGAGGCAAAGAAGGGAATGTACGAAAGTATAGTAGTACCAACACTCTTATATGGGTGTGAAGCTTGGGTTGTAAATGCTGCAGCGAGGAGGCGGTTGGAGGCAGTGGAGATGTCCTGTCTAAGGGCAATGTGTGGTGTAAAAACTGCATTATGCAGAAAATTCGGAAATTAGGAGGTGTGGAGTTAATAAGAGTATTAGTCAGAGGGCTGAAGAGGGGTTGTTGAGGTGGTTTGGTCACTTAGAGAGAATGGATCAAAGAAGAATGACATGGAGAGCATATAAATCTGAAGGAGAAGGAAGGCGGGGTAGGGGTCGTCCTCGAAAAGGTTGGAGGGAGGAGATAAAGGAGGTTTTGTGGGCGAGGGGCTTGGACTTCCAGCAAGCGTGTGTGAGCATGTTAGATAGGAGTGAATGGAGACGAATGGTATTTAGGACTTGACGAGCTGTTGGAGTGTGAGCAGGGTAATATTTAGTGAAGGGGTTCAGGGAAACCGGTTATTTTTATATAGCCGGACTTGAGTCCTGGAAATGGGAAGTACAATGCCTGCACTTTAAAGGAGGGATTTGGGATATTGGCAGTTTGGAGGGATATGTTGTGTATCTTTATACATATATGCTTCTAAATTGTTGCATTCTGAGCATCTCTGCAAAAACAGAGATAATGTGTGAGTGAGGTGAAAGTGTTGAATGATGAAAGTATTTTCTTTTTGGGGGTTTTCTTTCTGTTTGGGTCACCCTGCCTCGGTGAGAGACGGCCGACTTGTTAAAAAAAAAAAAAAAAAAAAAAAATACATGAGTGAGAGGGGTTGGATTTGAGTGAGACTTGCATAATGAGTAAATAGAATCATCAAAACTTATTTTTTGGGTAGCACTGAAAATTGGGTTGGGCAAATATTTTGTTAAGTGTGAAGGATTGTAAAGGACCTGCCTAGTATGGGCCAACAGGCCTGCTACAATGTTCCTCCTTTCTTATGTTAATACAAATGCTGCTTCGGTATTTGATGTTTCATCTTAAATCATTAAATATGCTTTACACAAAAATATATGTCACTGCATGTAACACAAGAGTAGAGAAAAATAATAAATTTACAAAGGACAACCCAGATACAGTCACTGCATATTACCTGCATACATCCATCTTTGGATTCTCTTATCTAACTCCATATTTTTTAGAAAGATCATACACCTAAATTAAACCCTTCCTATCATACTAATTTGTAAGTGATTTCTTTATTTTAAACTCATAATTGTACAGTAATAAAGCTGCCTGCTTTATTGAATCCCTCTTACTGCAGTTTTGGATGATCAATGCTGCAGTAATTTCATTAATCATATAAAGATAAATTTTTAATGTCATTACCTCCATACAGGTTTGCTACTTTTCCAACCCACCCTTTTTTTTTAACACTATTCACAAAATAAAGTGACACTTTTACGCTTCATCGCATGCTGACCTTAAAGGGCATAAGTTTTGAGGGTCCGCATGTGGATGTAAAGAGAAAGGCATAATTGCTTCTGCCTGGAAAACCAGTGCCGCTAAATTATAAAAAAAAATAAAAAATAAAAAAAAAAAAAATAAATAAAAAATTTAACTCACTTTAAAGTCATTATCCAAGTGTTGCTGCTGGAGGTGCAAGCCCATACCTAGTTTCAGACCAAGAGCCTTGAGGCGTGACAGCGTTTCTTCCAGATGCAGCTTCCCCATCCACTGGTACATGTTTTTCTGTACCCGAGCAGCCATGCTCAGACTCTCCAGAACATTAATTATGTCATACACTCGCCGCCGTTCTGTACCAAGCATGGATGCCACTTCGTCAATGACTAGACGTCGAGGAGTTTCCAAAAAAGATACTTCCATTGGAAAATGTTCCAGAAATCTTCATTTGAAAGAAAAAAATTATTTTATAATTTTGAAATTTTAAACAAATGATTATAAATGTGCCAATTCATTTCTTCTATGATGATTACAGAATATGCACATAACATGTCTTTTATACATACTTTTCACTTAGTAGACCTAATGATTTGTCCTTTCTGGATCCCTTCGATGAACGATTACTGCTGATTTCATCCACCGAAGAGAGATTACCCAGGTTTCCGGTTACAAGACATCCAGGGGAGCTTGGAGTAAGGTAATAACCACTTGTAGTGTGTTTAAGGTGTGTGCTGGTGGATGTATTCGACTGATTATTACTTTGATGTAAACACTCACTGCTGTGGTGTTGAAAATTTGGTATGGTTTGAGCTGTGGAACTGGAAGTCAGTAGAGAATCCACATTTGAGGAACACTGAACTTTTTGATCATTAATACTTTGAAACAACACTTTTTTACTTGTCAGTGATTCCTCCATAGATGCAATACGAGTCAACAACTTTAAATTGCTCATGGGGGTTAGCGGACTTTTGCCCAATCCTCCATTTGATACATGAGGAGACATTCCTTCTCCATTTGGGGTCTGCACTTCTGGTGAGGGATAAGACAATGACTTCTCATTGTTGCCTCTTCCAATAATGCTTCTGGATCTGAAAAGAAAAAAAAACCTTGATAATATGATGGTAGTAGAAAACTATACACTGATCAATATACAGTAACACAAACCCACAGTGAAACAGGACGAAGCTGCATATTTTAGTCTAACTTTCAGTGCCAGTAACATTATATGGATTTGTTATACAATAAAACCTCGATTTAATGGACTAATAGAAGGGGAGAGGGTGTCTAGTAATGCCAACTGTCCAGTAAAGCTGAATAAAAAGCAGAAAACTACAGTACTCAACTGTACATAATACAGTATCATACATAAAATTTAGATATAATGTACTTCGGCCATACTCCCTCCTTCCAATATCCATGTTTAGATAGGAGTGGACTTTTTGGTAGATAGGTCTATGAAAGAATGTAAACCACAGAAGTGATGAGGGGAAAAAAGATGGGTGGTGCACTGAGGCATCCTTGGATAACAAAGAATGTTATCCAAGGAGACAAAAAGAGGAAATTACCAAAGCATAGTGGTACCAACACTATTATATAGATGTGAAGCATGGATTGTGAATGCTTTAGTGAGGAGGCTGGAGGTTGTGATGATGTGTTTGAGGGCAGTGTGAAGTGTGAATATAGTGCAGAGAATTTGTAGTTTGGAGACTAGGTGGTGTAAGAAACTAAATCTATCCAGAGAGCTAAGGACGGGTTGCTGAAGTGGTCTGGACAGTTACAGAGTGTGAAGCAAATACAAAAACTTGGAGGGCATATAAATCTGTAGTGGAGGGAAGGAGGGGGAAGGGGAAAGGTTGGAGGAAGGAGATACGGGAGGTTTTTTATGAGAGGCGCTTGGAATTACTCTAACTACATGACTTTAAAGTTTTATTCCTGTAAGAGACTGTATTCCACACTTCAGTAATTAACTGTTTAAAAATAGACCAATATAATGTTCTTAGTTCTACCCACCACACTAAACTGGTGGCTCTTGAAATTCTTATACACGAGATGCCATATCAGCTGGTGTAAGAAAGTGAATACTATTACTAACCCTGGAATCAACACAGCAGATGCCAAACTTCTCAACTTTGTTGTTGGAGTATTGAGTGTTGGACTCATGAAAAGTGCACGTAGAGGAGAATTACTGAACTTCTCCGGAGATATGCCGATAGTGTTGGTAACCTCCCCAAAAACAGGTCTTGCCCCTTTCGTTGGGGTGACAGGAATTATTGTATCTGCAAATAAACCAGTAATGGAAACTCACACACAATACAAAAATATGTTGCATTAACAAACCAGTGTTGCACCACAAAAACATGTAAATGCCTAAATATTTTCATATTGTAACAAATATGTCAAATACTTTAATCAAAATAGTCAGGAGTAAAAAATAATAAATAAATGATAAATAAAAATAATAATAATAATACAGTAATAATACTCAGGGAATTTGTTATTCCTGGGCACCTGTTCTTTAACCCCTTGACTGTCGCAACCCTAAATCCTGAGGTGTCTCCTGGTGTCATAAAAAAAAAAAAAAAAAAAAAAAAAAAAATCTTATGAAATGATAGAGAATCTTTTCCCGATTGTAATGACACCAAAAAAAAAAAACGAAATTTGATGGAAAACTGGCGCAATTACACTCTTGCAAAGTTAGCGACCTCGGCGATATTTACGAATTGGAGATTTCGCCCACTTTGAGCCCTATTTTTGGCTAATTCCATTGTTCCAGTCAACCAAAGTCATAGCTATTTCTTTAGAACTCCATTTTTTCTATCGATTGAGTACAAGAAACTGCCCATTTACCAATTTCAACTATCCAATAACATGGTCAAAAATTTGCAATTTGGCCAATTTCACGAAAATTAAAAAAATATGACAATTTCAAAATAGGGTCCAGAATGAACAATGCAGACATTCCTGGCTCTAAAATAACATTTTCTCTGTTCATCAGTCACATCTCCAGGCCCCTCTGATATTACTCTTGCTTTCTATTTTGAATTTTTATTCAAGCAAAAAATAGAAGATTTACTGTTATGCAGACTACTGCAATATTGTAATAATTGTATAAATAATGTCAACCCATTCATGACAGCATATTAGAATGGCTACTTGGACATTTATTGGAAAATGACATCGTTTGTTTACTTTTGAACATCGGCAAAAATCAAACATTTCCCCTACTTTGAGCTCCATTTCAAGGTTCTTTCTATCAAATGAGACCAAGAAAACGAGAATACAACCATAAATACTACAGGAAGATAGACCACAAAGTCGGCATTTTAATTAAAAAAAAAAAAAAACGGTCAGTTATTTTTTTCTCATTATGCACTGCGTGCTGCAGGATTTTTTTTATATGGTGCACACTGACCACACAGACCCATTCTCTCACATGCGGGCCTACCAGCTTTCTCCTGTTTGATTTGAAGCTGCTAGAATTTATGAGTATGTATGTATATACGTACGTCAAAAACGGTGGCTCGTAAGATGTATATATACGACCAAAAGAGTCAAAAGGTTAAAGAAATTCCCAAGCATTCGTACACCAAGCCAAAAATGCAACAAAAACAATGAAGAAAAAACACTACAGTTTATACTCAAAAGTGACAATATGATCAACAGGATCGTATGCTCTGAAAAAGAAAGATGTGCTTTTAACTGAGATTTCAAAGCATTGACAGATTCCTGAATCTTGACAAACAATGGTAACCTGTGAAACAATCTAGGAGTTAAACAAAAAATACTTCTTTCTGCAAATGATTTCCACTCAACAACATGAGGTTCTGTCAGTCTAAAAGAGTTGGCAGCAATTACAGAAGCATTCCTAAGTCCACCGTAAAAAGTATGTACAGTGGAACCCCGCCTTACGAACGCATCGTATTACGTTAAATCCGCCATACGAAGCATTTGAATGCAAAAATTTTTCCTCGCCTTACGTGATTCGTCCGGGACGCGTCCCACGTGTGGCCTCAGCTGCCCCATGGGTACCAGTGTTTACAAGCCAGCCAGTGCGGTTGCATCTAAGCATACATTTGGTACATTTCATATTATCACAGTGTTTTTAGTGCTTGTAACTGCAAAATAAGTCACCATGGGCCCCAAGAAAGCTTCTAGTGCCAACCCTGTGGTAAAAAAGGTGAAAATTACTATGGAAATGAAGAAAGAGATAATTGCTAAGTATGAAAGTGGAGTGCGTGTCTCGGAGCTGGCCAGATTGTACACCAAACCCCAATCAACCATCACTACTATCTTGGCCAACAAAACGGTAATCAAGGAAGCTGTTCTTGCAAAAGGTGCAAGTTTGTTTTCGAAACAGAGATCGCAAGTGATAGAAGATGTTGAGAGACTGTTATTGGTGTGGATAAACGAAAAACAGATAGCAGGAGATAGCATCTCTCAAGCGATCATATGTGAAAAGGCTAGGAAGTTGCATGACAATTTAATTAGAAAAATGCCTGCAACTAGTGGTGATATGAGTGAATTTAAGGCCAGCAAAGGTTGGTTTGAGAGATTTAAGAATCGTATTGGCATACATAGTGTGATAAGGCATGGTGAGGATGCCAGTTCGGACCAAAAAGTGGCTGAAAAATATGTGAAGGAATTCAAGGAGTATATAGTCAGTGAAGAATTGAAACCTGAACAAGTGTTTAATTGCGACAAAACAGGCCTGTTTTGGAAGAAAATGCCAAGCAGGACCTACATTACTCAGGAGGAAAAGACACTCCCAGGACATAAGCCTATGAAAGACAGGCTTACTCTTTTGATGTGTGCTAATGCTAGTGGCGATTGCAAAGTGAAGCCTCTATTGGTATATCACTCTGAAACTCCCAGAGCATTCAGGCAAAACAATGTCCTCAAGGCTAATTTGTGTGTGCCGTGGAGGGCAAACAGTAAGGCATGGGGCACTAGGGACTTTTTCTATAACTAGTTACACCATGCATTTGCCCCCACTGTGAAAAATTACCTAATGGAAAAGAAATTGGACCTTAAGTGCCTCCTGGTATTAGACAATGCTCCTGGTCATCCTTCAGACTTGGCAGAGCGACTTTCTGGGGACATGAGCTTCATTAAGGTCAAGTTTTTGCCTCCTAATACCACTCCTCTCCTGCAGCCCATGGACCAGCAGGTCATTTCAAACTTCAAAAAACTCTACACAAAAGCTATGTTTCAAAAGTGCTTTGAAGTGACCTCAGATACTCGACTGACTCTAAGAGAGTTTTGGAAAGATCACTTTAGTATCCTCAGTTGTGTAAACCTTATAGGTAAGGCTTGGGAGGGAGTGACTAAGAGGACCTTGAACTCTGCTTGGAAGAAACTGTGGCCACAATGTGTAGAAGAAAGGGATTTTGAAGAGTTTGGGGCTAACCCTGAGAAGCGTATGCCAGTTGTGGAATCCATTGTAGCATTGGGGAAGTCCTTGGGGTTGGAGGTTATAAGTAAGTAAGTAAGTTTATTCAGGTATGCACAAATACAGTTACATAGAATTATCATACATAGCAGCATATGTGTAGAGAACCTAGGATAACCCAAAAAAGTCAGACAGAGTGACTTATTTCCATTGGGGTCCTTTTACCTTATTATTATAGTATAAAGGTTATAATATTTTCTTATTATTCTACAATGAAGATAACATCTTATTATCATACTAAAAAGACTATCTGCTACACCAAGGTCATTAAGACTATCTACAATACGAGGGTCATTACAAGGAATAAGGTAAAATTTACACGTATGTTAGCTAAAAAATAGAAAATCATTCCCCTCCCTTTCTGTAGCTACATTCATCAGACACCTTTTGGCACTCTTCTTGAACTGGTTCACGCTATGACTGGCTTTGACATGTGCGGGTAGTCTGTTAGTGGGGAGGATGTGGAAGTGTTGGTGGAGGAGGACAATGAAGAACTAACCACTGATGAGCTGCAAGATCATCTTCAACAGCAAGAGGCCAGACCTGAGGAAACTGCTTCAGAGGAGGGGAGAGAGAAATTGAGGAAGTTGCCTGCTTCAAAGATTAAGGAAATGTGTGCAAAGTGGGTTGAACTGCAAACCTTTACGAATGAAAATCACCCTGACACAGCTACTACAAGCCGTGTTGGCAACCTGTACAATGACAATGTTATGGCCCATTTTAGGAAAGTCTTAAAGGAATTGGAGGTACAGGGCTCTATGGACAGATTTGTTGTGCAACAGAGGTCCAGCGACTCTCAAGCTAGTCCTAGTAGCATTAAAAGAAGGGAAGTAACCCCAGAAAAGGACTTGCTACCTCAAGTCCTAATGGAAGGGGATTCCCCTTCTAAACAATAACTTCCACACTCTCCCCTCCTCCCATCCCATCAATCATCACCAGATCTTCAATAAAGGAAAGTGTCATGTATTCTATTCTTAGTAGAGTAGTAATTGTGCATGTCTTCTTCAGTTTGTGTGTATTAAAATTAATATTTCATGTGGTAAAATTTTTTTTTTTTTTATACTTTGGGATGTCAGGAACGGATTAATTTGATTTCCATTATTTCTTATGGGGAAAATTAATTCGGCTAATGATAATTTCGGCATATGATGAGCTCTCAGGAACGGATTAATATCGTAAGGCGGGGTCCACTGTATAAGATTATCAGTATACTGTCCAACTAAATAACCAGATATTACTCAAGGACTTGGTGACCAGGTATAAGTATAAATGACTTGAGAACTAGACGACCTGGTATGAATTCAAATGATGAGACTTAGATGAAGAAACAGTGAATGATGGACTATATATCAAGCATCAATGTTAATACAGTATTATAATATTTAAGTGATTACAGTAAAGTAAAACATGTTTAGCAGTAAGTGGATGGGAGATTGCGCCTCCACCACACTGTGCTGAATGACCCATACAGATTTAGTACTTTCCAATTATTATAACTGATAAAAATAATTTAATCTTATTACCTTCCTTCGACTCTGTGCTGAAGATTGCATTAGCAGCAAATGTTAGGAGGTCCATTCTACCACCTGATCATTACTCCTGAAAGTAGCATTGAAGATCATATTTTCTGGTATTGTAAAATAGTCATTTGTTTGATACTGTATTAAGCTACAAGTCCTCATGTAGACATTATCAATATCAAACACTGTGAAGTACGTATATTCATAGGCATGTGCTCATCAAGGGTAACTTAAGTAATGTATACTTAATATTGTTAAAATAACAATATAGCCCAACTGTAATATAAGCAGCCTAACATTTAACCCCTTAATATAAACAGCCGTGTACACAAATTTATTACCGTGATTGTTCCTCCTCTTACCAGTGCCTGAATTACTTCATGAATACTGTCTGCTGATACTGAACAAGCATCATCTTTAGGCAGAAATGAGTATGATAAGCTAGTATCAGTAGACAATATTCTTTGGAGTAATGAATAAGCCATCTCTAAGATGGATATGTATACACTATGAGTGATAGTCAAAGTGTTGAATGATGATGAAAGTTTTCTTTCTTTTTGGGTCACCCTGCCTCAGTGGGAGACGGCTGATGTGTTGGAAAAAAAAAATATACATTTTTCCTGCCGTAGAGATGGGACACTTCTCTGAAGACCACAGACTAAATTAAGTACAGTGGAACCCTGGATTTCACACGCACCGGATATCGGACATTTCAGATTTAGAACACTTTTTTGGGTGAAATTTTGCTCCGGATTTTGTACCTTGTCCCGGGAATCGTACGTATCAGATGCATCTGCCCGCCAGGACGCCACCTCAATCTGGCTCTGTCACTGGTTGAGTGAGCATTCATTCAAAACATTTCGCAATTTTTGTGCTCGTTTATTGATTGCAACTGCGAAATAAGTCATCATGGGCCCAAAGAAAGTTCCTAGTGCCAGCCCTTTGGTAAAGAAAGTGAGAAACACGATAGAATTCAAGAAAGAGATTGTAGAAAAATACGAAAGTGGTGTACGTTTAGCCGAACTTTCCAGGATGTATGGGAAGTCGAAATCAACAATCTGTTCTATCCTGGCAAAGACAGTAGAAATCAAGGAAGCTAAAGTTGCAAAAGGGGTAAATATGCTAACGAAACAGAGATCACAAATGATCGAAGATGTGGAGAAGTTGTTGCTGGTGTGGATCAATGAGAAACAATTAGCGGAAGATAGGGTTATGGAGTCGATCATTTGCAAAAAGGCAAGGCAGCTGCATGCGGATCTTGTAAAGAAAATGCCTAGAACAAGTGCTGCTGTTAGTGAATTTAAGGCCAGCAGAAGCTGGTTCAACAGATTCAAGAAGCGTAGTGGCATACACAGTGTTGTAAGCCATGGTGAGGCTGCAAGTTCAGACAACCCTGTGACCGAAGAATTCGTTGATGAATTCAAGGAGTACATAGAGGCTGAAGGATTCCTCCCCCAACAAGTGTTCAATTGTGACGAAACAGGCCTCTTTTGGAAGAAAATGCCAGAGGATCTACATCACGCAGGAGGAAAAGGTACTGCCAGGACACAAGCCTATGAAGGATAGGCTAACTCTATTGTTCTGTGGTAATGCTAGTGCGGATTTCAAAGTGCAGCCTTAACTGGTGTATCACTCTGAAAATCCCAGAGTGTTCAAGAAAAACAATGTCATCAAGAGTAAATTGTGTGTATTGTGGAAAGGTAATAATAAGGCATGGGTCACGAGGCAAATTTTCATTGACTGGGTCCATGAAGTGTTTGACCGAGTGTGAAAAAATACCTCCTGGAAAATAAATTGCCACTCAAGTGCCTCCTGCTACTGGATAATGCTCCTGCTCATCTTCCAGACTTGGAAGACCAATTGTTTAGGGGCTTAAGGTTCATAACAGTGAAGTTCTTGCCTCCTAACACCACTCCTCTCACCCATCCCATGGACCAGCAGGTCATTTCTAACTTCAAAAAATTCTACACCAAAACAATGTTTCAAAGGTGCTTTGAAGTGACCTCAGACACTGAATTGACCCTAAGAGAGTTCTGGAGGGATCACTTCAATATCCTCCACTGCATAAGCCTTATAGGTAAGGCTTGGCAGGAAGTGACTTCCCGGACTTTGAACTCTGCTTGGAGATAATTGTGGCCAGAATGTGTCCTGGACAAAAATTTTGAAGGGTTTGAGGCTGACCCTGTTGACCCTATGACTGCTGTGGAATGTACTGTGTCTTTGGGGAAGTCCATGGGGTTGGAGGTGAGTGGCCAGGATGTGGAAGAGTTGGTGGAGGACCACAGGGAAGAGCTAATCACTGAAGAGCTGCAAGATCTTCAAATGGAACAGCAACAGACTGCAGCTGAGGAAATTGCTTCTGAGGAGAAGGAAGAAAAGAGAGAAGAAGGAGCCTTCTTCAGTGATTAAGGACATCTGTGCAAAGTAGAATGAGGTGCAAACTTTTGTTGAAAAATATCACCCTCACCAAGCTGTTACAAGCTGTATCTGCAACATGTTCAGTGACAATACCTTGTCCCATTTTAGGCAAATCTTAACTAGATGCCAGAAACAGAGCTCTCTGGACAGATTTTTAGTGTGACAGGGGTCCAGTGCCAGTAAAAGACAAAGAAGGGAAGTAACCCCAGAGAGGGCTTTGATACCTGAAGTCCTTATGGAGGGGGATTCCCCTTCCAAACAACCTCAACTCTCTCTCCCCTCCTCACCTTCTTCAATACACCAACAAGTCTTCAATAAAGGTATGTAATGTTCATTTATCATTAAAATTAGTGCTTTATATTTATTTCTCATTGTTTTCTGTATGTAAAACTACAGTTATTCTTTAAAAATGATTTTTTGTGAATATTTTCGGGTGTCTGGAATGGATTAACTGGATTTGCAGTATTTCTCATGGGAAATATTACTTCAGTTTTCGTATGTTTCGGATTTAGAATGACCATCTGGAACGGATTAAGTACGAAATCCGGGGTTCCACTGTACTGTACAACTAAATACAGCCTCTCCTCACTTAGCGAGGGCAAGGGGCTCCCTGACCAGTATTTATGCCTAAATAATGTATATTAAGAGCTGATTTCATCTATTCTGTTTATTTCAATATGTACAGTACACTACCATATAAACATTTAAAAATATACCAGAAATGTTATAAATAGTGCAAAGGTGACATTAAAACAATATCAAAGATGGTCAAAACAAACTCATTACCATTATAGTATGCTCCTCACTTAGCAACGAATTTGTTTAACGACGTGGTCTTAGGAATGGAACTCCGTCATTAAGTGAGGAGAGGCTGTAGCTACATGTAGTTAATTTTTTTAACATTTTTTCCTATGTATCTACAATACTCTGTTTTTGTTAACAATGGGCAAAGTACTGACTTCCAGCAAAGCTCCAAAGAGAGCACTGAAGGATTAAAGGGTTCCATCCTTACCTATTACCATGCCATCACATGGGCCTGGAATACCAGTTCCAGTAGCAATAACTGTTCTGTCACCAACCTCTTGGGTGAAACCTCTTCTTGACCTTCAGTGAGCCACACCATGCCATGCATTTGATCTAACACCTCGTATTCGTTGCCACTGTTGTAGTTAGAGGATAATTAGAAGCCAGGGTAACACATGGTTGGTTTATTAGATAAAAAACAATAGGTGTCACCCACTATTTCCCCCCCCCTCCCAAATTATATATAAATTACACCAATACCTTAAATGCAGGATCTAAGTTATTCTTCAATCCTATGTTACAGAAATACATTCACTTCTCCATACCCAACAGGCAGGTTAGGTCTGGTAACATTAGGTTAGGGTATACATATAAACAAAAGGGTTATGTCACACAGGAACTAAATTTAAATATCTCCATCACAAAATACACTTAATACTGGAGAATTTACATAATAAAAACACACCCTGAATAAAGTAAAAACATTGATCACAAGGAGTACTGCAGAAGTCCCAGTGAGTACTGACCCAATATAATAATCCATATACTTGTCTGACAGATCAACATCATGGAATCTTGAAAGAGAATTCTACAACTCCCATGCCTGTCTGATCTATTGGCATAACCTACTTCTACTACTGATCTCCACCCACCTATGAGGTCACCTCAACCTGCTTCACCTCACCTGTCTCCTCATGCTTCTACTTAAGTTATCAAGACTGAGGGACACACACCCACATTGTCATTCTCAGTTTTTCCTCACATATTTTGTCGAGTGATCTGTCCAGGAATTAGTGAATTAGTACAACCAATATCACACAGATTGCTGTGTATTCATTTCTGCATACTTGAACTTTCAGTCAAATTTTAACATTTGTTATGCTTGGTTATGTTAGGTTTGGTAAACCTATAACTTATATTTCTATATTAACAGCCCAACAATAACAAAATTAATCTGCTTATTGCTTGGATTTCTTCACAATTAATCTGTAAATTGTGGATAAAATGTTTAAAAAGTGTACGGTCTGTCATGGATAGAGAAAAAGGAAGTAATCTAGAAGAGGTAGGGAGAAAACACAGGTAAGAAAGTTGATTTAGGTAGGGGTACACACAAGTACAATTATTATACGTAGTTTAACACATCTGTAAATTTCCCAGGATAACCTACCAGTCAAAGTGACTCATTTCCATTGGGGTCCTTGTAATATCTGAATATTTAAAGCCTGGCTCTAAGTTATTGTAAAAATCAGTCTTGATTATAACCCTAAAAATTAAAACAGCTAAGTAACAACTGTGAAAATCAGTTACAGTAAAAGGAGATAAAACAGAAATAAAATGAACCAAGTTATTTACATGAACTTTAGAGAGAGGATCACTTTACAATAATAGGTACACAAATGTAACTACAAAAAATCATTTTCCTCCCTTTCTGTAGCTTCATACATGCGAGAAGAAAAAAAATAAAAGGTTAGGTTAAGTCACCAGTGTTCTGAAGATCAACTCATTTGACAATACACTTGCTCCTTATTATTATTAAGTACAATCAAAACTAAGCACTAAACCCACAAGGGTCATACAATGCTGCTTGCCATGCCCAATACAAGGCCCTCCTTTCTCAGTAATGCCTAACACTTATCTTTTGAACACTCATAACCTGTAGATAAATAGTTCAGAGAACCGACAAGTTGATAAATTAGACACATGTGCAACACTTGGGTATCTTTACTAAGAAAACGTTTCGCCACACAGTGGCTTCATCAGTCCATACAAAGAAGAATAGTGAAGAACGGGGAGTTTGAGGTAATCAGTCCCTCAAGTTTGAGTCAATGTAATTAGTCCATCAATCTTGAAAAGAATACAGCATATGTGCAAAGAAGTGGCTTGTATACTGTTGACAGGTGAAGTGAAGCAGTTGTAGGTGGTATCACACTTGACAAATCCAAATGTGGAAGTAGGTTATGCCTAAAGGTTAGGCAGGGAATTCTTCACTTGCCTAACCTTAAAGATAAGATAAGATAAGATTTCGTTCGGATTTTTAACCCCGGAGGATTAGCCACCCAGGATAACCCAAGAAAGTCAGTGCGTCATCGAGGACTGTCTAACTTATTTCCATTGGGGTCCTTAATCTTGTCCCCCAGGATGCGACCCACACCAGTCGACTAACACCCAGGTACCTATTTGCTGCTAGGTGAACAGGACAACAGGTGTAAGGAAACGTGTCGAAATGTTTCCACCCTGCCGGGAATCGAACTCTGGCCCTCCGTGTGTGAAGCAGAAGCTTTAGCCACCAGGCCACCGGGCCACCAGCCACCAGGCCACCGGGCCACCAGCCACCAGGCCACCGGGCCACCAGCCACCAGGCCACCAGCCACCAGCCACCAGGCCACCGGGCCACCAGCCACCAGGCCACCGGGCCACCAGCCCACCGGGCCACCAGCCACCAGGCCACCGGGCCACCAGCCACCAGGCCACCAGCCACCAGCCACCAGGCCACCGGGCCACCAGCCACCAGGCCACCAGCCACCAGGCCACCGGGCCACCAGGCCACCGGGCCACCAGCCACCGGGCCACCGGGCCACCAGCCACCAGGCCACCGGGCCACCAGCCACCAGGCCACCAGGCCACCAGCCACCAGGCCACCGGGCCACCAGCCACCAGGCCACCGGGACTGGTAGGCATAACCTACTTCCAGATTTGGATTTGTCAAGTGTGATACCACCTACAACTGCTTCACTTCACCTGTCAACAGTATATAAGCCACTTCTTTGCACATATGCTGTATTCTTTTCAAGATTGATGGACTAATTACATCGACTCAAACTTGAGGGACTGATTACCTCAAACTCCCCGTTCTTCACTATTCTTCTTTGTATGGACTGATGAAGCCACTGTGTGGCGAAACGTTTTCTCAATAAAGATACCCAAGTGTTGCAGTCAGTAACTTAATTCTATCTGGGTCCTTGTAATATCTTATTATTTAAACTTATTCTTCTACTGGACGTGTCTGTCAGTTTTCACTCACTACTACTTGGTCTACTTATCAATTTATTACATTAACTGCATAAAAATCTTCACTGGTCACCAGTACACATGTAATTTTAATTTTAATTTTAATTTTATACGTATTTCAACTAAAAAATATCCATCACTATCACCTGCATTCTGATAATTTATATACTAATTCATTGTACAAATTATAAGCAGATTTGTTTAATGTACATTTAAATTATTTCGATGTTTTCAATAAAATATAATAATAAATTGTTTAATCTTCCTTAAGGACCAAAATTGATGATTTAGTAATAAATTCGAGTCAATCAAAATTGTAATTGAAATGTCAGTTATCTTTCCCTGTATTATAACCTGGTCAAACATCTGTGAGAAAAACACTTGATATATTACAAGACTTCACATGAGAATGTACCTACATAATAATGAAGGTACAAATACAAAAATAATAAATTGATTTGATGAAGGAACGTCCGTTAGTCACCTCTCTCAGCTGCTATTTTCTCCACTTGTCTTCACTTTTCACTCATTACTAACCCTCAGTGACCTCCTCGCAGCCTCCGGATGACCTCTGACATGTATGGACACTTCCTAGCTCTCAAAAAAGCCCCCAAAATTCCACAAATATGGAAGAAAAATCTTTGTACCCAAGTTAAGTCTAAATTTACGCGGGAAGAATGAGCAGCGGCGGCCGTTCACCTTATTAATTAATATATCAATAATAATTATCTTTTATATATCAATTATATGTTACTTTATATTTAATAAAACTATAATTTAACCAACAAATTAACATAAGGTAAGCAACAGATGACTGAAATAAGTAAGATTTATTTATTTTGTTTACTAAATCTAACTCATTTTAATTTGTCCACTATATCATTAAAGTTTAAAACAGTAGTTATATTACACTAACTTTTGTAATAACTTACACCAAAGTTTTAACAAATTGTTTTACTAAAACTTCCAACAAATTACTTGCCAAAAATTTCAGGGTTGGTGGCCTGGCAGGGTGGTGTTGCTGGGTAGGTGGCAGGGTGGTGTTGCTGGGTAGGGGGTGGCAGGGTGGTGTTGCTGGGTAGGAGGTGGCAGGGTGGTGTTGCAGGGTAGGGGGGGGCAGGGTGGTGTTGCTGGGTAGGGGGTGGCAGGGTGGTGTTGCTGGGTAGGTGGCAGGGTGGTGTTGCTGGGTAGGGGGTGGCAGGGTGGTGTTGCAGGGTAGGGGGTGGCAGGGTGGTGTTGCTGGGTAGGGGGTGGTGTTGCAGGGTAGGGGGTGGCAGGGTGGTGTTGCTGGTAGGAGGTGGCAGGGTGGTGTTGAGGGTAGGGGGTGGCAAGGTGGTGTTGCTGGGTAGGGGGTGGCAGGGTGGTGTTGCTGGGTAGGGGTGGCAGGGTGGTGTTGCTGGGTAGGGGGTGGCAGGGTGGTGTTGCTGGTAGGGGTGGTGTTGCTGGGTAGGAGGTGGCAGGGTGGTGTTGCTGGGTAGGAGGTGGCAGGGTGGTGTTGCTGGTAGGGGGTGGCAGGGTGGTGTTGCTGGGTAGGGGTGGCAGGGTGGTGTTGCAGGGTAGGAGGTGGCTGGGTGGTGTTGCTGGGTAGGGGTAGAGTTGTAGGGTAGGGGGTGGCAATGGTGGTGTTTCAGGGTAGGGGGTGGCAGGGTGGAGCTGCAGGGTAGGGAGTGGCAGGGTGGTGTTGCTGGGTAGGGGTGGCAGGGTGGTGTTGCTGGCTAGGGGGTGGCAGGGTGGTGTTGCTGGGTAGGGGTGGCAGGGTGGTGTTGCTGGCTAGGGGGTGGCAGGGTGGTGTTTTCTGGCTAGGGGGTGCAGAGTGGTGTTGCTGGGTAGGGGTGGCAGGGGGGTGTTGCTGGGTAGGGGGTAGAGTTGCAGAGGGAGGCGGTGGCAAGGTGGTGTTGCAGGGTGGAGTTGCAGGGTAGGGGTGGCAGGGTGGAGTTGCGGGGTAGGGAGTGGCAGGGTGGTGTTGCTGGGTAGGGGTGGCAGGGTGGTGTTGCTAGCTAGGGGGTGGCAGGGTGGTGTTGCTAGCTAGGGGTGGCAGGGTGGTGTTGCTGGGTAGGGGTGGCAGGTGGTGTTGCTGGGGAGGGTGGCAGGGTGGTGTTGCTGGCTAGGGGTGGCAGGGTGGAGTTGCGGGTAGGAGTGGCAGGGTGGTGTTGCTGGGTAGGGGTGGCAGGGTGGTGTTGCTAGCTAGGGGTGGCAGGGAGGTGTTGCTGGGTAGGGGTGGCAGGGTGGTGTTGCTGGGTAGGGGTGGCAGGGTGGTGTTGCTGGCTAGGGGGTGGCAGGGTGGTGTTGCTGGCTAGGGGGTGGTAGGGTGGTGTTGCTGGGTAGTGGGTGGCAGGGTGGTGTTGCTGGGTAGGGGATGACAGAGTGGTGTTGCTGGGTAGTGGGTGGCAGGGTGGTGTTGCTGGGTAGGGGTGGCAGAGTGGGGTTGCAGGGTAGGGGGTAGCAGGGTGGAGTTGCTGGGTAGGGCCTGGCAGGGTGGTGTTGCTGGGTTGGAGGTGGCAGGGTGGTGTTGCAGGGTAGGGGGTGGCTGGGTGGGAGTTGCTGGGTAGGGGTGGCAGGGTGGTGTTACAGGTAGGGGGTGGCAGGGTCTTGTTGCTGGATAAGGGTGACAGGGTGGTGTTGCAGGGTAGAGGGTCGAAGTGTCGTTGGTCTGGCAGGGCGGTGTTGCAGGAAGGTGGCAGGGTTGGTTGCCTGGCAAGGTGGGGGTGGTGTTACAGGGTAGGGGGTGGCAGGGTTGGTGGTCTGGCAGGGTAGTGGGTGGTGTTACCAGGTTGGGGTGGTGTTACATGGTTGGTTGCCGGGCAGGGTGGGTAGTGGTGTAGCATGGCTGAGGGTGGTGGGTGGTGTTACAAGGTTGGTTGCCTGGCAGGGTGGTGTTACATGGTAGGGAGTGGCAGGGTGGGGGTGTTACAAGGTAGGGGGAGGCAGTGTAGGGGGTGGCAGGGTGGTGGTGGTGTTTACAAGGTAGGAGGGTGGCAGGGTAGGGGGTGGCAAGGTAGGGGGATGGCAGGGTAGGGGGAGGCAGGGTGGTGTGGTGTTACAGGTAGGTGGTGGTGGTGGTGTTACAAGGTAGGGGGAGGCAGTGTAAGGGGTGGCAGGGGTGGTGGTGTTTTACAAGGTAGGGGGGAGGCAGGGTAGGAGGGGGTGGCAGGTGGTGGTGGTGTTACCACGTAGGGGGAGGCAGTGTAGGGGGTGGCAGGGTGGTGGTGGTGTTACAAGGTGGGGGAGGCAGGGTAGGGGGAGCAGGGTGGTGGTGGTGTTACAAAAGGGAGGGGGGAGGCAGGGGAGGGTGTGGCAGGGTAGGGGGAGTCAGGGTGGTGATGGTGTTACAAGGTAGGGGGGAGGCAGGGTATGGGAGGCAGGGTAGGGGGGAGGCAAGGTTGTGGTGGTGTTACAAGGTAGGGGGAGGCAGGGTAGGGGGAGGCCGGGTAGGGGGGAGGCAGGGTAGGGGGGAGGCAGGGTAGGGGGGAGGCCGGGTAGGGGGGAGGCAGGGTAGGGGGAGGCAAGGTTGTGGTGGTGTTACAAGGTAGGGGGGAGGCAGGGTAGGGGAGGCAGGGTAGGGGGGAGGCAGGGTAGGGGAGGCCGGGTAGGGGGAGGCCGGTAGGGGGGAGGCAGGGTAGGGGAGGCAGGGTAGCGGGAGGCAGGGTAGGGGGAGGCCGGGTAGGGGGAGGCAGGGTAGGGGGAGGCCGGGTAGGGGGAGGCAGGGTAGGGGGAGGCAGGTAGGGGGAGGCAGGGTAGGGGGAGGCAGGGTAGGGGGAGGCAAGGGTAGGGGGGAGGCAGGGTAGGGGGAGGCAGGGTAGGGGGAGGCAGGGTAGGGGGAGGCAGGGTAGGGGGAGGCAGGGTAGGGGGGGTAGGGGAGGCAGGGTAGGGGGATAGGCAGGGTAGGGGGAGGCAGGGTAGGGGGAGGCAGGGTAGGGGAGGCAGGGTAGGGGGGGCAGGGTAGGGGGGAGGCAGGGTAGGGGAGAGGGTAGGGGGCAGGGTAGGGGGAGGCAGGGTAGGGGGGAGGCAGGGTAGGGGGAGGCAGGGTAGGGGGGAGGCAGGGTAGGGGGAGGCAGGGTAGGGGGAGGCAGGGTAGGGGGGAGAGGCAGGGTAGGGGAGGCAGGTAGGGGGGGCAGGGTAGGGGGAGGCAGGGTAGGGGGGAGGCAGGGTAGGGGGGAGGCAGGGTAGCGGGAGGCAGGGTAGGGGGAGGCAGGGTAGGGGGGAGGCAGGGTAGGGGAGGCAGGGTAGGGGGAGGCAGGGTAGGGGAGGCAGGGTAGGGGGGAGGCAGGGTAGGGGGAGGTAATGTTTGAAGCAAGGCGGGAGAGTCAGTCAGTCTGGTGTTAACCTCCACCATCACCAACACTACAATAACATCTCCAACACTACAATAACTGGTAATTATCATCTCCCTCATTACCACTGATCTTAACATTCACTTCTCCACAACATTATTATTATTATACTAACATTATTATACAAGACTATTATTATACACTGACATAAAAGTCTCTACAACGACACTCTTAAAATAAACTTCATAATGTTTGAGAATCTTTTGAAAAAACGTTTTGCCAGCCAGTGACTTCTTCAGTCCAATACAGAGAAGAGGAGTTTGAGGTGATCAGTCCCTCAGTCTGGAGTTTGAGGTGATCAGTCCCTCAGTCTGGAGTTTGAGGTGATCAGTCCTTCAGTCTGGAGTTTGAGGTGATCAGTCCCTCAGTCTGGAGTTTGAGGTGATCAGTCCCTCAGTCTGGAGTCCATCAAGGCTGAGAAAAGTACTTTTCTTAACCTTGATGGACTGATCACATGGACTCCAGACTGAGGGACTGATCACCTCAAATTCTTCATCTTCCACCATTCTTCTCAGTATTGGACTGAAGAAGTCACTGGCTGGCAAAACATTTCCTCAATAAAGATTCCCGAATGTTACACAAGTGTCTCATTCTTCCACTTGTTAGTTTTCTAAACCATTTACATCACATATTTTACTGTACCATTGTGTGACCCGTGTGTGTTTACCACTTAAATTGCTTATAATAATAATATATAACGCAGTTTTTTTTTTTTTGAGTCATTGCATATATAAGTTCATGAATATCTATCCAGTGGAAATAATGTTATTTAGCTTATTGGCAGCACATTTAACTCACCTGAAAAACCAGAAATCAATCCTGGGGAGGGTGGAAACTTGGGCAGGTTTTCTTACGAGGACCCCAATGAAAATAAACCGCTGACTTTTTTTTGGGGGGTTGTCCTGGGTAATTTACAGGTAATGTTAGGTAAAAGGACACAGGTGTAACTAATGTTACATTTTATTATGGCAACGTTTTGCTCTCACATTAGTTGCATTTGTGTCCTTTTACCTAACATTTTGCTAGTAATTCTACCATTATTTCTATTTTACACATACGTTGCAATGTGTGATTATTGTAAATAACAAAAAAGGATAAATTTGTGCACCCATACCTAAATAAACTTACACCTAGCCGTAAATAAGTTGTGAGTCGTTCCTGGCTTGATTGATAGCGTCCTCGACTCACACACTGAGGGTCTGGGATCAATCCCTGGCACATGATACATTGGGTATGTTTCCTTATATCCTGGGGCCCCTGTTCACCTAGCACTGAGTAGCTGGGTGTTAACTGACTGTTGTGGGTTGCATCCTGGGTGAACAAGATTAAGATAAGATTTGTTTGGACTTTTAACCCAGAGGGTTAGCCAGCCAGGATAACCCAGGATGCGACCCACACCAGTTGACTAACACCCAGGTACCTACTTACTGCTAGGTAAACAGGGACAGCAGGTGCAAAGAAACATGCTCAGTGTTTCCACCTGTGGCCACCGGTGGCCTGGAGGCTAAAGCTCCCGCTTCACACACGGAGAGCCCGGGTTCGATTCCCGGCAGGGTGGAAGCATTTCGACACGTTTCCTTACACCTATTGTCCTGTGCACCTAGCAGCAAATAGGTACATGGGTGTTAGTCGACTGGTGTGGGTCGCATCCTGGGGGACAAGATTGAGGACTCCAATGGAAATAAGTTAGACAGTCCTCGATGACGCACTGACTTTCTTGGGTTATCCTGGGTGCCTAACCCTTCGGGGTTAAAATTCCAAACGAAATCTTATCTTATCTTACCTGGCCAGGAATTGAACCATGGACACTCAGTGTGTGAGGCAAGAGCATTGCCTACCAAGCCACGGGACCTAACTTTTGTTGCTTGAAATGCTCTGAATAATCAAGGGCTTTCTACATAGTATGATTTGTTTCCTTGGGGCATGTTTGTTTTGTCTTATATAGGCACTTGATATGTCATATAGGCAACCATGAAGGTTTTAATTCATCAGAAATGCAAAATGTAAAAAAAAAAAAAAAAAAAAAAAAAAAAAAAAAGGAAAATCCAAGCCATAATTGTTAGTAGCCTTAATCCTATCATTGGAGATACCATCTTTTGTAAATCTGGGGTTTGATTTTTTCTGGTTAGAACTTTACATTGCTTCTAGAGCATAAATCTCACTGCAGTATTTGATCAAGTAAATATACGTACATAGGAAAATTAAAAAATAAAATGCTTTGGTTAGATAAAAAACTGAAGAGCTCTTTAATGGTTGATTGTTGATTGCCTTCTAATACACCTAACCTTTTTATTTCAGACAAGTAGTGGCAACTTTTTAAATATGTCCCCAATGATTCCTGACTGTGGGGTCTTGACAGCCCCGCGCAGTGTTCCTCCAGTTAAGCTGACGGCTGAAGGTTTGCTAGCCACATCTCCTCAAACTGACTTAAGCCTAAGCTTACCGACATCTACTGGTTTTATTTTTTCCGCTTCGCCGAGGTCTTCAGAAATTTCAGGGGTGAACCTTAGTTCAGGTAATGGTTATTGAAGTACTTTTACTTACAGTATTGAATAATGGTGAATGTTTCTTTTGTTCTGATCGCTACACCTCAGCTGGTGTGCTAGAAGAAATATCCTGTAGTTTTAGTTATCAGTGTTGTGCTTAGTATAGTTTTATAATTTTAAGAGTTACATCTAATGTAGACACAAAATTAATTGGGCTGCGTTTTTTGCAGGATTTTCCTTTGGCTTTTACGAGTCCCCAAAGAACATTCTTAGTCCACCTAAGGTTGACCACCATCCCACCAGTTACTCCAAGAAGCGACAGAGAGATGACATCAATAAAGGTGTTGGTGGCCACAAGATAAAAAAAATCAAGCTAAAAGCAAAGGCAAAGAAGGTGATAAGCTTGTGCACTAAAAATTAACACAAGTCATTTTCATTTAATCTGGCAGTGGTTTTTATATTTTTTATTGAACCAGTCATTCACTGGTCATTATTAGTCACTACTGATTAGCCTCATTTGTTCAGTCTTGAACAGTTTTGAAATTAGCTTGGAAATCTGTTCTGGTGTCATGTGTTTGTGGGAGACATGGTTATTGACTGCTTTATAGAGGAGGCTAGAGGCAGTGTAGGCATCAAATCAGAGGTCATTGTGTAGTGTGAATATCAGGAAGGGTTGGAGGGAGGGTGTGATGGAGAGAGGTAAGGAGTGTGAGTATCCAACAGACTTGTGCATGTTAGATTATAGTGGAAACTGGAGATTTTTTGTGATTCGATGTACCTTCAATTCGGGTGACTTGATGACAGCAAAGGACTCTCAATCCAAGGAATTGGAGCCACAACCATGCCTTTTGATCAGACCTGCTTGCTTCCCATTGCCCAGGTAATGTATACCTCCATGGGGTTAGTGTTTTCCCATGAATATAATAATCTGATCTTGATGTACTGCTGGAGTATGAGCAAGGTATAATCTGTAAATGTATTCAGTGAAACCTGTTAGACAGATAAAAGTTATGGAGGTAGGAAATGTAGTGCCTCTATTCTGAAGGATAAGTGACACTTGTTTTACTGCATTATTGGAGCTGATGTCTATGCTCTTTTGGAAAAGCTGCTAGGGGATTTAGTGATGGGGAACATAATTTTTCTTTTAAATTACTGCATAAACTTTTTGCACCTGTATATTATTTTTTCCATTTTTACTGACAGGGAAGAACCAGCGTCAAGACTGTGGTCAAGCGGTTGAAGGAAGGAATATATGCACCATGTCTGCCATCCAATCGCAGTCCATTGAAGACTCCCACTTCTAGAGAGAGAGTGGGTGATTTGTAACCTATTTTAAAAAAGGGCACATATTTGCTTGAAATCTTTTAAAAATTGAGAAGTGTGATTCTGGTCAAGTTTTAATTTTTAAATTAGTCAGTCAAAATTATATCCAGTACTGTATATATTTCTGCATACTTAGAGATACTGAATTTGAATAATAAGCCATGAAATATATTTTCCTGGAGAGAGGACATCATGCATTTGATTTGCACGGCATGAACTAGTTTTTTTTTTCTGCTTCTTACCTTTGACCAACTAAAATGAAATGACTTAGTCATATTTATTTTTGAGCCCCTTTGTGAAGTCTGCTTCCATTGTCATTAGTCAGCTGATAAATCTTAGGCTGATGTGTTTCCATATTCATTTAGGTGGGAAATTTCCAAACATGCCATGGTTTGGTTCATTTTTGCTAGATCCTGTTCTTGTCTTGTTTTTAGTAAGGGTGGGCAACTATTCTGGCCAACAGGCACATCAGCTTATCCTGCTTAAATAAGCTTTGCAATGGTCACACTTTTATCAGTGTAAAATTGTAAATGTTTAATTATAGCTGAAATTCATATCTTCCATTTGTGCATAGAAAAGATTAAGGTATATTACCTTACTGAAATCTCTTAAAAATTAGGTTACATGACAATAAATCATTTAGCAGGTATTGATTAAATAAATGTATTCTAATATTAACCCTTTCAGGGTCCAGAGGCCAAATTTCAAAGTGCACACCAGGGTCCAAGAATTTAAAAAAAAAAAATTGTTATTTTTTCTTATGAAATGGTAGAGAATCTTTTTCTGAAGGTAATAAAACAAAAAGTCCGAAATTTGATGCAAAATTGACAAAATTATGCTCTCGCGAATTTTGATGTGTCAGCGATATATACGAATTGGCGATTTTGCAGACTTTGACTCCCATTTTAGGCCAATTACGTTATTCCAGTCGACCAAATTCTTATCTATTTCACTAGTATTACTTCTATTCTATCGATTGAGCACAAGAAATCGCCAAGTCGACTGTTTCAACTACAAAATAAAGTGATTGGAAATTGGTAATTTGGCCAATTTAACACAAAGTTCAAAATATTCCAATTTCAAAGTAGGGTCCAGAATAAACAATGTAGGCATTCCTGGCACTAAACTAGCATTTCCTGTTTATTAGTTATGTTGAGGCTTTACAAATGAATTCCATTTTGATTTTTTTATTCACATAATGAATTTTTATTCAAACCAAAAAATAGAAGATTTGCTGTTATGCAATATTGTAATAATTGTATAAATATCATCACCACATTTATGAATGTACATTAGACCCACCAGCTGGCGTGTATTAGACGTGTGAGGTCGTTTGTTTACTCTTGAACATTGGCAAGAATTAAACCTTTCTGCTACTTTGAGCTCAGTTTCAAGCCATTTCCAGTGCTAAAACCAATCAACAATCTCTCTATTTCTGTTATATGTCTTCCATTCTATCAAATGAGACCAAGAAATCACAAATACAACTATAAAAAAATACAAAAAAACACTGCAAAGTCGCTGTTTTAATCGAAAATCACGGTCTTGGTTTTTTCTCATTATACAGTGTGCTGCAGGATTTGTTTTATGTGGTGCACACATACCACATAGATGTATTCTCGCATATCTAAGCCCAAATTTACCACTCACAGCTTATCAGAGTGAGCTGAGCTCATGGCGTAGATCTACGGTTTGGACCTTGAACGTAAAGCCGTAGATCTACAGCACGGACCCTGAAAGGGTTAATGACACTGGGAGATGCTCATATAAGATCAGATACTTACTTATGGATATTTATTTGAGACATGTTTTGCCCAGTTTTATGCCTGTTGGGCAAAATATCTCAAATAGATTCCCAGATGCTGTAGTGTCTTATTCATCTTGAGTTTGAATAAAGTATATTAGATAAGACATATTTACCATTCAACTATACTATATGCCCTGTTGGTTTAAGGCAGGTTGATTGGGCTAGCATATCTTTACAACCAAAAAAATTATTTGGCAAGGCACTTTTCTGTGTAAACAATGAGTATGGAGAAAGTTAGAGACTGAGTTTCTATAGTGTGGACCTGCACTATTATTGTACATTCATTGTTATGAATTCCAGGCAAATTTGCATGCTACTGTATTAGGGGCCTGATAGAATGTAGCCCGACCTCTTGCATTAGTTGCACCAAACTGATGGTTTGTATAATGAATTCATTTGCATTAAGTAATTTTTCTTAATAAGCCAAACTTTTCCAGAGGAAATCCCATGTCCTTTCGTCACCTGGCATTTCATTATTAGATTCACAAGTGAGTAAGACCGCATCATTAATTTCATCTTTTTGTTGAAGAACAAAGATGTTGGTCCATTGTTTATATACAAATTTGATATAATTATGCATGTACACTATTGTAATCTTTAATAAACTGTATACAAAGATGAAGAATAGTGTATCTTTGGTTTAGTTAGTTGTATACTAATATTTATTTTTGATTTCAGGAGCCAGATGAGAATTTCTTAACAGAATCCAGAAATGGAAAGTTCTTCACCAGCCGGTCTCGTGCTGCTGCTACTGTGCAAATTGGCAAGAGCATAAAGTGAGTATAGTATTCCTGACATTGTTGCATTTTTCTGAGAATAAACGTCTTGGACAGAATTAAGGTTAATGGAAAGTAATAAATAGATGTCTGTATGATAAGAGATACTTGTCTTCAAGAGGAAATTAGACAAATATCTCCACCAAGTGCCAGATCAACTAGGCTGTGATAGATATGTGGGCCAGTGGGCTGCCATTAACAACAACTTGGTTGACCAGGCACACACCAGATAAGCCTGGCCCAAGGCTGGGCTCTAGGAATAGCAAAACTTGAAACTCATCAAAGGTGTCAAGGATATATCAAAGATGGAATACTGAATGAAGGTGGAGATAATATTTAGCAAACTGTTGAATGCAAGTAATGAAAAGGCAGATAATTTCTATTTGTAATGAGGAAGAAGAGGATTATCATCATTAAAAATAAAAGGTTGAAAACTTTTGGAAATAGTGTTAAAAGTAGTGGGTGTTGATGTTGAAGTTTTATAACTGTAGTGTAAGCACGCCTCTGGCAACACAGTGACGGAGTGAATGATGGTGAAAATTTTTCTTTTTCAGGCCACCCTACCTTGGTGGGAAATGGCCGATGTGTTAATAAAATAAAAATGTTGTATAGTATTTTAGTGGCTGTGTGAAAGATTAGAAGATGCCCAAGTATTAACAGGAAAGTTTTTTATACGAAGGTGAAAGGAGATGAGAGTAAGAAAAATACTGTAGTGAAATAAGTGTTAAGTGTAACAGAGGAAAGTTGTAGTTCTTTATGAAGACAGAAAAATAGATCCTCATGGAAAAAACAAATTGAAAGCAACCCCATTTCTAATGAAAAGAATAAAATTTTCATATTACCAAAGGCTTATTTAGGTGCAGTATTTAAATAGACCTTTGTTTGGCTCATTGTTTGTCTAGTCAAAATGATCTGCATATTGTGAACTAAATAAACTTTTCTTGGAACTAAACAATAAAGATGCATACATAGTTTTTTATTTCCTTTTTAATAGGCTTGTTGCTAGGAATGGAGATGTGTGTCTGAAGCAGCGTGGCAGGATTTTTGAGAAGAAAAATATTGGCCGCCGTTTAGAAGCAGAACTGAATCTGTATCTTGATCAGTCAGTTAAATCTCAAAGGTCAGTTCAAACTTGTATTTCTAGGTTAATGTCAGTTTGTAACAAATTATGTATGATTTATTACAGGATTTTAAGACTTGAAACTGTATACAGTACTGGATCATAACTTTGTATAGGACATGTTATGTAAAGTGGGTTCTAGTCTTTGAAATATGATGACCCACACGAACCTTGATCATCTGACTGAGGTCTTCCATTAGTTTACCGGTCCACCCCTTGAAAGTTACAAGTACATATACACTTACCTTTATTTTTTTTTCTTAATGGTTCTTATTTCTGCAACATTCCTGTTCCAGAGCATTTATGGTATTGCATACACATAAGGCACCTTTATTTAAAATGTGTAATTCCATCCTGGGACCTTTAATGCTTTCACTACATATGTACATTTGATGTGATCAAAGACCAAGGACTAAAGTCTTCTATTAATGTCTTAAGTTTTTTTTTTTTACACTGGCCATCTCCCACCGAGGTGGGGTAACCCAAAAAAGAAGAAACACTTTTATCATCACTCTGTCACTGTCTTGTCAGGTGTGCCGATACTACAGTTCAGATACCCCTCCAACCTGCAAATATCCCCAACATTCCTTCACAGTACAGGCGCTGTTCTTCCTGGCTCCAGGACTCGGGTCTGGCTAACTGGCTTCCCTGAATCTCTTCATAAATGTTACCTTGCTCACACTCCAACAGCACGTAATGTCATAAAAACCTAAGTCGTCGTCATCTTCTTTCAACAAACCAGCCGTATCCCACCGAGGCAGGGTGGCCGAAAAAAAAGAAAAACAAAAGTTTCTCTTTTTTTACTTTTTTTACTTTAGTACTGTATACAGGAGAAGGGGTTACTAGCCCCTTGCTCCCAGCATTTTAGTCGCCTCTTATGACATACATGGCTTACGGAGGAAGAATTCTGTTCCACTTCCCCATGGAGATAAGAGGAAATAAACAAGAACAATAACTACAGTATAAGAAAATAGAAGAAAACCCAGAGGGGAGTGTGTATAAATATGCTTGCACATGCATGTGTAGTATGACCTAAGTGTAAGTAGAAGTAGCAAGATGTACCTGAACTCTTGCATGTTTGTGAGACAGAAAAAAGACACCAGCAATCCTACGATCATGTAAAGCCATTTCGGGTTTTCGTTTTACACTCACTTGGTAGGACGGTAGTACCTCCCTGGGCGGTTGCTGTCTACCAACCTACTACCTAGAAAAAACCTAAGTGTTATGCATCAATTTTTTTTTCTTATACAGGTCTCCCTCAACATTCACGTTTTCAACTTTCACGGGCTTCACACATTCGCGAATTCCTAACCTCCAAATTCCCAGCCACCAAATTCCCAGCCGCCAATTCATATTTAAGTTTCCCGCCACCTGCGAGTCCCTACTACCCTCCCTCCGATCCCCGCAACTGGCAGCCAGCCCTCCCACCACTCAGTGTGGCGAGTGTTTTGTTTGTTCATTATTTGCTATTAAACTACAGTATAAATAATGTAAACCCATTCATGACTGCATATTGGAATGGCTATTCGGACAGGTATTAGACGGTGACATCATGTGTTTACTCTTGAACACTGCAAAGAATTAAACATTTCTGCTACAGCTAATAATAACAATAGTAATAATAATAATAATAATAATAATAATAAATATGATATAATTGAAGAAGGAAATTGTACAAAAATACGAGGGAGTGATTGACACATCGTCAGTGTGACTTTGTTTATGCTGGAGTGAACATTAGTCTCCCTGCTCTTCCAAACATTTCACAAATTCATTGTGTTTGGTGCTTGTAGATTGAGTGTGACTGGAGTGGTAGAGGCAGTGATTGAGGCAATGGTATTTAATAACATACATGTTAATAATAATACATGTTATTAATAATATGTACTATTATTATTTGTAACATATATGTTATTAAATACATACATGTTAATAAGTAGAATGACATGGAAAGCATATAAATCTATAGGGGAAGGAAAGAGGGGTAGGGGTCGTCCTCGAAAGGGTTGGAAAGAGGGGGTAAAGGAGGTTTTGTGGGTGAGGGGCTTGGACTTCCAGCAAGCGTGCATGAGCGTGTTAGATAGGAGTGAATGGAGACGAATGATACTTGGGACCTGACGATCTGTTGGAGTGTGAGCAGGGTAATATTTAGTGAAGGGATTCAGGAAAACCGGTTATTTTCATATAGTCAGACTTGAGTCCTGGAAATGGGAAGTACAATGCCTGCACTTTAAAGGAGGGGTTTGGGATATTGGCAGTTTGGAGGGATATGTTGTGTATCTCTATACGTATATGCTTCTAAACTGTTGTATTCTGAGCACCTCTGCAAAAGCAGTGATAATGTGTGTGTGTGTGGTGAAAGTGTTGAATGATGATGAAAGTATTTTCGTTTTGGGGATTTTCTTTCTTTTTTTTGGGTCACCCTGCCTCGGTGGGAGACGACCGACGTTGAAAAAAAAAAAAAAATGTTACATGTTATTAATAATAGCATGTACTATTATTATTTATAACATATATGTTATTTAATACCACTGCCTCAACCGCTGAATTATTGTGAAATGTTTGGAAGAGCAGGGAGACTGATGTTCACTCCAGCATAAACAGTCACACTGATGATGTGTCAACCACTCCCTCGTATTTTTGTACAATTTCCTTCTTCAATTATATCATATTTATTATTATTATTATTATTACTATTGTTATTATTAGCAATAGCAGAAATGTTCAATTCTTTGCTGTGTTCAAGAGTAAACACAAGATGTCACCGTCTAATACCTTTCCTAATAGCCATTCCAATATGCAGTCATGAATGGGTTTACATTATTTATTCTGTAGTTTAATAGCAAATAATGAACAAACAAAACACTCACCACACTGAGTGGTGGGAGGGCTGGCTGCCAGTTGCAGGGGTCGGAGAGAGGGTAGTAGGGACTCGCAGTGGTGGAGTCTGTGGTATTTAATAACATACATGTTATTAAATAACATACGTTATTAAAGCATAACATGTATATATTTAGTACAATTTACAACGTTTTCATGTATTTTATGATTATTCATGGTTCAACAAGTTAAGGAAGTAGTATTGTAATATATTTCCCTACAATATATTGGGGCACCAAACATTCACGGTTTTTCAACATTCGCGAGCCTCTTGATCCCCTAACCCTCGCGAATGTTGAGGGAGACTTGTATATTGGCACCTAATTGCACATTTCAATTTTGACATGATGTATGTCATAATTGGCCTTTATAGCATTTCTCTTTCCATGTATTTGCAAGCTATTTTACTATTTGCCAGTGTAGCTTACAGGTTTCTCAGTTTCTTTTGTATGATCTGCCTGATACTTTTAGAATCCATTTATTTTTTTTAAGCTAAATATTTCTTATTTAAGTTTCTAACCAATCCTTCTTGCCTTATCTGGTTTTGTTTGTTTATTCATTCTGTATATCAATCCTGTAGCTCTAGTGCTGTCTGCCATATTGTAAACAATTTTTTTCATTCTGATTTATAACATCTATATTTAGGAACACCACTAAACTATTATTATTCTATTCTCGTTACCATAAACAGGCAATGATGTACCTTATTTTACTAGGATGTTGCTGTTGCTGTGGCTGCTGCTGCTGTTTTAGTTGGATACATGTGCTCCTCGACTTGCCATATTTTCGAATTGCAGTGGGTTCGTTGAAATATAACCCCCTCATAAGTCGAGAAGCACCTGTACTGTAAAATGGGTCATTTCTTAGTTATAAATTCTGGAATTGACAGTCGGGACCTGAGGCAAGCACCAATATGTACACCTTTATATTTTGCAGTGTGAACCAGGTCCTATCCTTGCCCTCAGTGCAGGCCAACCCCCGACCACTTCCATCACGAGTGCCATCCACTCCCTCGCCTGTGAAGCAATCTGCTCAACGAAGGAAATCGAGAACACCCTCACCTCGGAAATTCAATAAAATAAATACTTCAGAAAGTGCAATGAATGTATCCACTGCATCTAATGGAGAAGAGTTACAAGATCTGGAATTTGCTCTCAAGGAAATGGATGCTGAACTTGACAAATTAACTGCTGCAAATAAAGCTTTGCCAGCTGATGAGGTATTCTCATTCATGTCTCCATCTGTCTTCTCAGTTGCCTTGCATAAATCTCTAGTTTTAAGTTCTCTTCCTACCTTCTAAATTTTTCATTATAAACTCGTCTCTGTTGCAGCCTTGTTAATTATTTCTTTTCCATTTGCCTTTCGTCATCTCTTAAACATGCTGTATTTTGTGGCATATAGGAAGCACCCTAAATGGAATTTTTTTGCAACAAGTCGGAATTATTCATGTAATATACCATATACAATCATTTTCAAGTTGCCTGGATTGTTTAACTAGGGTGATTCACGGATCCCAAGCTTGACCCTAAGCCTGACCTTCACCTTGTAAGATGCAGGGTGATTTTGAGGGTCAGATTTTTTTAAAAAATGTGCCTTATATGCTGCAAAATATGGAAATTTTCTCTTGATAGCTTGCTTTTACATTAGTCTCCTGCCTTCCCTTTACCTCTACCCCTGCATTACTGGTCCAAGTACCAGGTATCTTTATAATTCTATTAGTTTTTTATTGTTTTTTAGAATCAGTCTGGTACCAAGAGTACTAAAAACTGCTCCGTAATACTTGTGATGTTTATAATAAATTAATCTTTTTTTTTTTTTTTTTTTTTTTTTTTTTTTTTTTTTTTTTTTTTTTAGGATGTGTTACCTCTCAAGTCGCCAAGGAAAGCAGATAGTTCTTCATCTCCTAATAAGTCAAGAAAGAAATTAGAGCAAACAAAATCCCCAACAAGAAAATCTCCAAGGAAACGAAAGGATGAAGCTGTTTTGCCTAAGGAGCTTCAAAAGGATGAAGAACTGTTGACCAAATGTTCATTGACACAGTCACAAGAACAGACACACTCACCAAGGAGAAAGTCTCCAAGAAAAGCAGAAAAGGGACTTCAGAAGAATGAATGTGCTTCATCTTCTCCACAAAAATCTTTATCTCTAAAAAACAAGGACAAAGACACCAAGCTGTATTCCATTTTCGACCCTAAACGAAGACTGGCGGATCAAAACATACCCTTTAAAAAGTCTCAAAATAAGTAAGGCCCTTATTATAATCACTGTTGAACATTTAGCCCAATTTTTTATTCCTTAAACATCTCTTTGTTTAGATATTAAGCTTATACCCTGTAAAAAAGTTTTTTATATTTTAATTTATTTCTTTCAACACACTGGCTGTATCCCACTGAAGCAGGGTGGCCCAAAAAGGAAAAAACAAAAGTTTCACTTTATAAATTTAGTAATGTATACAGAAAGGGTTACTAGCCCTTTGCTCCTGGCATTTTAGTTGCCTCATACATAATTACTAGTACCACAACCCTTATGTTTCCCCTCCCTCTTCCTGACCTGTCTTCTGGTCTTCTCTGCTTTTTCTTGCTCAGTTGCAACCTGACAGTGGACCAAAATATGCCTAAAATGTCATCTTTCCTTTCTTTCCATAAGTGGGTTTTTGTGCATTAGTACCTTTTTTTTTTTTGGCCCTGCTGATGCTTGGCCACCTACCATGACAGCAGGGTTAAAACCTACCCTGTCTAAGAACCTAGCATTTTCCTTTCCCCTATCCTTTGGATTAATAGTGAGGATTTTTTCCTCATTCATCTAAATTTGCTACCACTAGTGGCTGTTAACGTGAGATAATTTATGGTCATGGACTATGGAAAATTATATGAGTAGTTTTGCTTGCATTGTGATTATCATCCCTGTAGTGTAATATGTGAGTGAATTATGATCCCTGTAGTGTAATATGTGAGTGAGTTGGTCACAACAGTGATAACTTTGATAATACTCATATTGGAATATGTTTTAGGCACTGAATAACCAAGTGGTTCTGGTGCTATATAAATCAGTTAGAACAATAACAACCTTTCTCACTTCATGGAGTGAATTGGGGCACTTTCCAAGTAAGTATTGAAAAAATAATTCAGTGAATTAGGATGCAAAAAAATCAAGAAAATATATGTAACAAAAAAAGGCACAATACCGTGACTGGAACGATACACAAATAACCCGCACATAAAAGAGAGAAGCTTACAACGACGTTTCGGTCCGACTTGGACCATTTACAAAGTCACACTGTGACTTTGTAAATGGTCCAAGAAAATATATGCTTATGTACCACAGTTTCTTGGATTTGCATAAATAATAATCATCCATTTTTAAAAACTAGTTATACCATCATAGAACAATTAACTTACATAGTTTGTACATAACTATCATTCATGTACTATTCTTTGGTATCTTCTTCAGAACTGAGCTTCAAAACTTTATAACTTTATAGATAAGAGTGTTTTTGATTTAGAAGTTACCTTGCATACGTGTGGTCTTCCAGTCATTTTGTAAGTGACCACCAGTCTCATAAATTTGATGCTTTGAGGACCTATAAATGGAAATTTGGGTTTCTTTAATCTTGGTTGACATTTTTTCCTTAGATTAATGTAGTGGATTTTTTACTTAGGTTAATGTAGTGTTAAATAGGCTGATACGGTGAAGTTAAACGAAACCATTCCTTAAAATTACTCTTCAAGTAATTGCCTCCATGCTTAACAAGAACGTCAAACATAGTAAAAGAGTGATAATAGAAACAGCTTCAAAAATTAATGGTAGTAGTGTCGTTAAAACTCAACAGGACAAGTACAAAGGTAGATTCTTGGTTGTGGGAAGCTGTATCTCATCCACACAGTGTCAGAAGTTACACGCAGAGTTTCAACTGCACGGGGGATTCAGCACCCATGACCCCCCATGTTGTTCAAGAGTCAACTAATTTGTAATTACAGATTGAGTAGACAGAAAGCTGCAGATAAAGAGGATTCACAGATGATGATTGATGCTGGACAGAAGAAATTTGGTGCCCAACAGTGCTCTGTGTGTGGAGTTGTTTATGAAGTGGGTAATCAGGCAGATGAGATCTCGCATAATAGGCATCATGATCACTTTGTCAACTCGCTCAAATTTTTGGTAAGTACCTTTTTTTTTTTTTTATTAATAAAAAAAAAGTTGGGTAAATGAAAAAAATTAAATACTGCAGCAGTAGATAAAGTATTTTACAGGATATAAAAATATTCCCAGATGGTGAACAGTGTTATATGCAGTCTTTGAATGGAAATACTTGAACGTTCCCAGTTAATCAATATAAAAAACAGTAAGCTTAGGCATAAGTGAACCAAAAAATCAGGAAAAGCCCAGGGAGTGGATGCATAGAAAATAGGTGCTAAAATGTGTATGTAGATGGATACACAAAACAGCAATGGTGCCAGTCTGAGTAAATCAGTGTAGAAATTAGACAATTATTGTTGAGCATTGTAGGAAAGCTGTGTGGAAGAGTTTTATAATTAAGTGGCAAGGAAAGTGGATTGTAAAGGGTAAGGTTGTTAACCCTTTCAGGGTCGGGATCCCTGCTCTCAAACTTGCTCTCAGGATTGGGATCCCTGCTCTCAGGGTTGGGATCCCTGCTCTCAGACTTGCTCTCAGGGTTGGGATCCCTGCTCTCAGGGTCGGGATCCCTGCTCTCAAACTTGCTTTCAGGGTCGGAAATTTAAAAAAAAAAATTCTTATGAAATGGTAGACAATCTTCTGAATGTAATAAAACAAAAAGTACAAAATTTGATAGGAAAACTGACGAAATTATGCTTTCGCAATTTTGTTGCATCAGCAATATTTGCGCACTGGTGATTTTAGGCCAATTCCGTTGTTCTGGTTAAACAAATTCTTAGCTATTTCACTCGTATATCTTCCATTCTGTCGACTGAATACAAGAAACTTTCCATCCAACTACCCAATAAAGTGATCAAAAATTGGTAATTTGGCCAATTTCACACAAAATTCAAGAAATGCCAATTTCAAAATAGGATCCAGAATAAACAATGCAGACATTCCTGGCACTAAAATAACATTTTCTCTGTTCACCAGTTACATCCTCAGGCCTCTCCTATATTACGCTTGCTTTCCATTTTGAATTTTTATTCACACAAAAAAAATAGAATATTTACTGTTATGCAGACTGTATTATAATTATAACTGCAGAAAGAGAGAAATGCAGAGGAGAGAGAGAGATTTTGGGAGATGTTAAGTGAATGTATAGGAGCCTTTGAACCAAGTGAGAGAGTAATTGTGGTAGGGGACCTGAATGCTAAAGTAGGAGAAACTTTTAGAGAGGGTGTGGTAGGTAAGTTTGGGGTGCCAGGTGTAAATGATAATGGGAGCCCTTTGATTGAACTTTGTATAGAAAGGGGTTTAGTTATAGGTAATACATATTTTAAGAAAAAGAGGATAAATAAGTATACAAGATATGATGTAGGGCGAAATGACAGTAGTTTGTTGGATTATGTATTGGTAGATAAAAGACTGCTGAGTAGACTTCAGGATGTACATGTTTATAGAGGGGCCACAGATATATCAGATCACTTTCTAGTTGTAGCTACACTGAGAGTAAAAGGTAGATGGGATACAAGGAGAATAGAAGCATCAGGGAAGAGAGAGGTGAAGGTTTATAAACTAAAAGAGGAGGCAGTTAGGGTAAGATATAAACAGCTATTGGAGGATAGATGGGCAAATGAGAGCATAGGCAATGGGGTCGAAGAGGTATGGGGTAGGATTAAAAATGTAGTGTTAGAGTGTTCAGCAGAAGTTTGTGGTTACAGGAAAGTGGGTGCAGGAGGGAAGAGGAGCGATTGGTGGAATGATGATGTAAAGAGAGTAGTAAGGGAGAAAAAGTTAGCATATGAGAAGTTTTTACAAAGTAGAAGTGATGCAAGGAGGGAAGAGTATATGGAGAAAAAGAGAGAGGTTAAGAGAGTGGTGAAGCAATGTAAAAAGAGAGCAAATGAGAGAGTGGGTGAGATGTTATCAACAAATTTTGTTGAAAATAAGAAAAAGTTTTGGAGTGAGATTAACAAGTTAAGAAAGCCTAGAGAACAAATGGATTTGTCAGTTAAAAATAGGAGAGGAGAGTTATTAAATGGAGAGTTAGAGGTATTGGGAAGATGGAGGGAATATTTTGAGGAATTGTTAAATGTTGATGAAGATAGGGAAGCTGTGATTTCGTGTATAGGGCAAGGAGGAATAACATCTTGTAGGAGTGAGGAAGAGCCAGTTGTGAGTGTGGGGGAGGTTCGTGAGGCAGTAGGTAAAATGAAAGGGGGTAAGGCAGCCGGGATTGATGGGATAAAGATAGAAATGTTAAAAGCAGGTGGGGATATAGTTTTGGAGTGGTTGGTGCAATTATTTAATAAATGTATGGAAGAGGGTAAGGTACCTAGGGATTGGCAGAGAGCATGCATAGTTCCTTTGTATAAAGGCAAAGGGGATAAAAGAGAGTGCAAAAATTATAGGGGGATAAGTCTGTTGAGTGTACCTGGTAAAGTGTATGGTAGAGTTATAATTGAAAGAATTAAGAGTAAGACGGAGAATAGGATAGCAGATGAACAAGGAGGCTTTAGGAAAGGTAGGGGGTGTGTGGACCAGGTGTTTACAGTGAAACATATAAGTGAACAGTATTTAGATAAGGCTAAAGAGGTCTTTGTGGCATTTATGGATTTGGAAAAGGCGTATGACAGGGTGGATGGGGGGGCAATGTGGCAGATGTTGCAAGTGTATGGTGTAGGAGGTAGGTTACTGAAAGCAGTGAAGAGTTTTTACGAGGATAGTGAGGCTCAAGTTAGAGTATGTAGGAAAGAGGGAAATTTTTTCCCAGTAAAAGTAGGCCTTAGACAAGGATGTGTGATGTCACCGTGGTTGTTTAATATATTTATAGATGGGGTTGTAAGAGAAGTAAATGCGAGGGTCTTGGCAAGAGGCGTGGAGTTAAAAGATAAAGAATCACACACAAAGTGGGAGTTGTCACAGCTGCTCTTTGCTGATGACACTGTGCTCTTGGGAGATTCTGAAGAGAAGTTGCAGAGATTGGTGGATGAATTTGGTAGGGTGTGCAAAAGAAGAAAATTAAAGGTGAATACAGGAAAGAGTAAGGTTATGAGGATAACAAAAAGATTAGGTGATGAAAGATTGAATATCAGATTGGAGGGAGAGAGTATGGAGGAGGTGAACGTATTCAGATATTTGGGAGTGGACGTGTCAGCGGATGGGTCTATGAAAGATGAGGTGAATCATAGAATTGATGAGGGAAAAAGAGTGAGTGGTGCACTTAGGAGTCTGTGGAGACAAAGAACTTTGTCCTTGGAGGCAAAGAGGGGAATGTATGAGAGTATAGTTTTACCAACGCTCTTATATGGGTGTGAAGCGTGGGTGATGAATGTTGCAGCGAGGAGAAGGCTGGAGGCAGTGGAGATGTCATGTCTGAGGGCAATGTGTGGTGTGAATATAATGCAGAGAATTCGTAGTTTGGAAGTTAGGAGGAGGTGCGGGATTACCAAAACTGTTGTCCAGAGGGCTGAGGAAGGGTTGTTGAGGTGGTTCGGACATGTAGAGAGAATGGAGCGAAACAGAATGACTTCAAGAGTGTATCAGTCTGTAGTGGAAGGAAGGCGGGGTAGGGGTCGGCCTAGGAAAGGTTGGAGGGAGGGGGTAAAGGAGGTTTTGTGTGCAAGGGGCTTGGACTTCCAGCAGGCATGCATGAGCGTGTTTGATAGAGTGAATGGAGACAAATGGTTTTTAATACTTGACGTGCTGTTGGAGTGTGAGCAAAGTAACATTTATGAAGGGATTCAGGGAAACCGGCAGGCCGGACTTGAGTCCTGGAGATGGGAAGTACAGTGCCTGCACTCTGAAGGAGGGGTGTTAATGTTGCAGTTTAAAAACTGTAGTGTAAAGCACCCTTCTGGCAAGACAGTGATGGAGTGAATGATGGTGAAAGTTTTTCTTTTCGGGCCACCCTGCCTTGGTGGGAATCGGCCAGTGTGATAATAAAAAAAATAATAAATAATAAACTGCAGAAAGCTCTAAACCTGTGTGGGTCATTCAGCACTGAATAGGGAGCAGTGTAAAGCACACACTTGGTTCTTGGTTAAACGTGGTTCAGCAAGTGAAAGCTTGTACAACCAGAGAACTTAAGAATTGTTTTATTTTACCCATTACATTACCATTCGCCACTAGAGTATAGAACGGGAGAATGATCTGTTCATGACCTACCAGGTTTCATGCATTCATTGAGCATGTAGCTAGAAACTATTCTAGCGGATAAACAGTTTTGACAGGAAGTGTTTTATGCTATAATTTGTAATGAATTAATCTTAACTATTATATTACAGGGGTGGAAGAAAGAGAAGCTTGTACGTGACATGGACCATTTGGGTGGACGAGTTGTAATGGTGTCCTCGGATGATCCTCCACACTATTGGCGAAAAGTGGAAGATATATGTGAAATAATTGATGCTGAGCTAGGCTTTTCTGAAAATAGCATTAAAGCAAAGGAAACTACCAAAGTCTTCCTCTATATCTTGGAGCGCAGAATTGTTGGTTGCCTTGTTGCAGAGAAAATTGATAAGGCTTACAAGATTATTCACCAAGCATCAACACGAGACACTGCACGTCCAGTGTGTTGTTCAGAAACTCCATCCAGAGTGTGGGCAGGTGTCAGTCGTCTGTGGGTTTTTAAATCGCAACGAGGCAAAGGTATTGCTTCTACATTAGTAAATTCTATGAGGGATAATATGATTGCAAATTATTTCTTGAATGTGAATGAAATTGCATTCTCTGATCCTACTGAAAATGGATTGAAATTTGCAGAAAAGTACACTGGTAAGCCAGATTTTCTTGTCTATCGTCGAGAAGGCCTTTGATTCATAGTTCCTCTCTGTGGTTGAAGGCTTTGTATTTACAGTTCTTTATGAATGAGAATACCTTTAATTCACCCACACGAAAAGAATACAATCAATTCTAAGCTGTAATTTGGTTAAAAAAAAAATACATATTTTTTTAGTGAGGAGAAGAATTCATTGTTGAGATGACTAATTAATTTTATAGAGGGGGAAAATTCTTGTGTTCATTTTTTATATAATTGAAATACTGAAGCAGTTTGACATTTTCACTGACAGTAGACTCTCCCATAACAAGTTAGGTACATTCCTGAAAACTGCCCATTACTTGCATTCCATGGCTGGTTGCTGTTGCTTGTTGATATACATGTGGAGAGTGTTAATTAATGTGGCCTTGTACAACTTGAAAGGCTACCACCATCATCAGCTATCAACACAGGCAAAAAAAAATAAGCCACATTTACTAAACATATTGTACCAAACGTACAGTAATATACCATACCTACACCAAACAAACATTCTAAAGATGAATATATTCAAAGAAACAGTTCAAGAAAAATGCAATTGTATTGCAATAAAATTGTTGCTGAGGGGTTTTGATGGATGTCATATGACACTTACAGGTTTAACGCTTAATTTAATTATAAGCACAGCAAATATTCGTGGCTGTGCCCCAGTGAAGATTATGCTTGCACTACATGACTAATATCTTTCACACTATTATCAGTCACTGACATATTCAGTAATTGTATACATAGGACTAGGGTAGGCAGACGAGTACTAAAGGCATGGGTTATTAGCCCTCATTGCCTCTCCTTCACTCACACTTCTAAAACTTCAATTTTCATAAAAACTGTCAGTTTCATACATAATTTTCTTAGCATCACTAGTATTCCTCATAGGTGTCATGGTAATATCCAGAAATGAGATGGGGGTGATGAAAAGATTGAAAATTGATTGAACAACACATGGCTGAGTAGGTATCAAACAAGTATGCATGGTGACAGGTTGTGTGGGTTTGTTGACAGTATCCCACAGAGTGCTCTAATAGGAGCTGGATGGAAGCTTATTTTTTCCACAAATTTATGGTATGCTGTGGCATGCAATAACTTTTTTTCTCCATACAACATGATAGGTAACAAAATTCCATTAATGCTAAGTGAGCATGTTATGTGAGAGTCAATTGTACATTTCAATTTCGGTAAAGTTTGTAGTTATATATATATATATATATTAAATCACTTGCTGTGCTACATTGCCAGAGCAATTACATCACTTAATTTTAAGAATGCTTTTCATTACAAAACCATGTGTTTTGAAAATTCAGATTTTTTTTTAATATTGTGTGGGAATCATGTTTTACTTGTATGAAAGATGAAACTGCAGTGTATGTTTACAGTATGTTACAGTACAATAATTGTATAATTCCTTGGTGAAAGCCATGTGCCAAGCAGAACTCAGCATGTGTACCTTGAACAATAATTTTTGTCTAATCCCACATAGTAACTCAAACTGTAAAAAAAACTTTTCATAGTTTAAGTTCAAGATTCTTGAAAGTTCAGATCTTCTATATTGTGATAAGCTTAATTTTTCAGGATCCACAAGACAATTTACTGGTTCAAATATCTGGAATTTTTCAGAATAAAATCTATAAACATTTTTATATTTGCATAAAATTAAGTTTTACTTTTCTGCTTCACTATCATCATCATTATTTTTTTTCACTTGTCCATTATCAATATTCCATATTTTGTTTGCAATAAAATCTTATTTTATTTTGTTCTTATTCTAATCCTAATTTAGTGTTATACATACCATTTAAATCTTGATTGTTTTTATATAAAACTGCAATATTATTAAAGGTTGTATCACTGTGCTCTTGGATGTTACGGTGTTTTGGACTCCAGTTCTCTCTGGTGGTTGGTAAGAGGATGCCTATGTTGGATGGTCACTAGAAATCAGCAAAGCAGCTTTCATCCTGGATGGAGAATGCATCTCTTGCCCTGGGTTTTTGTCTAAAAATTTAGCAGCCTTTAGGCTTGAATGGCAGGGACATTTTTTCATAAAAGTTTTTTACTTCTAGGGAAATTCCCATTTCCTTAAATGCATATATTTTCTTATGGGAAAGGTTGCTAAGTTTTAAGACAAGCACCCAAGTTAGAGCCATTCTCTCCATCCAGAACAAAAGCCACATTAATAACTACTGTTATATCATACCACTAGAGGATGATTTGAGTATTACAATGGGCTGGGCTGTCCATGAGCCAAAAAGTGGCTTCATGCTACTGCAGGGTTCAGTCTGAGTAATCACTTCTTCAAAGTAGGAATGCTTTGATGCCAGTGAATTTTTGTTTACACATCAATTTTTACAGGCTAAGAGTTGTTACCCTACCTGAGCTCAACCCACAACAGGGACAGAAGGTGTATAGAAGCATGACCAACATTTCCATGAACACTCAATATGTGAGCTGTCAACCAAGTCACAGGATATTTATTTTAATTCGGGGCAAGTGTTAAGCCATAGGGGATCATTAAGCACTGGGGTATGGAAAGCATTCTGGTTCCATCCAAGAATGGAAATTAAGTCCAGTTCCTTGAATCAACAGCTTTACTGGAATCAGTCCCTTGGTAGTTCCAGTGCCTCAGATTCTTCAGTTACTATTATTCCCTGGGTTTGGCACCTTCCTGCAGTGCTGTATGACCTTTGTGGGTCTAGCACTTTGTTTTGATTATAATAATTATAATTAGAACATTCCAATGAATATAATTACCTGTATAAGCCTTGGTTCAAGTCTAATTACCTTTCATTCATTAGGGCTAGTATAATTCCTATTGATTTAGTGCTTTCTTTCCCCTCAAGGGAGGTTTCCTGACGGTGGTAAGGGGCTCCTGATCTAGGGAATTGGGTCTGTGCTCCAGCTCTCTGAATTAAGCCTGAATACTTTCCATAACCCCCCCAACACACACACAGGCGCTGTATAATCCTACGGGTTTAGCTCTCCCCCATGATTATAATAATAATTAGTGCTTTCCCATGCATAAAATACTATAATGATGTCCATATACTGTAGACAGTTATATACACAAAGGTATACATCTCTTACATATATATGCTGAGAGTTTAGATAAATAAGATATGTGCAATATGGAGTTTATTTCATTCCATATTTTAGGGAAAATTAAAGTATTTTTGGTATGGTTATGTACATCCTAAATGATCTTCGTATGGTCAATGACCCTGATGGTTTAGCACTTAGTTTGGATTATAATAATAATAATAATTATGGTCAATAGACTTTAAATCTAATTAACCAACCAATTTATGGACTGCCTGAGAAACTGTCACCCCGGCACAGTCCATAATTTCAACACTTGCTGACCCAGTCTTGAATGGGGTATCTAATGAACTTCATTTGGTCAGAAGTTTGTGAAGGGTTCTTGGTTCAAGGAAATTGAGTTGCTTTTTTCTCAGAGCAAACATGGTTATTTTCCATTCTTCAGGTGCTGTATGACTACAGGTTTAGTGCTTACCCAAGAATGTAATAATCCTGTCACACTTCATTATACAATTTAGTTTTCCTCTCATATTCCATCACTGAGGATAGTTTTCCTCTCATAATTATTATTATTATAATAATGGGGAAGCGCTAAACCCGTAGGATTATACAGCGGTTTTCCTCTCATACTCCATCACTAAGGATAGTTCTCTCATACTCCATCACTGAGGATAGTTTTCCTCTCATACTCCATCACTAAGGATAGTTTTCCTCTCATACTCCATCACTGAGGACAGTTTTCCTCTCACACTTCATCAATGAGGATACTTTTCCTCTCATACTCTATCACTGAGAGTTTTCCTCTCATTCTCCATCACTGAGGATAGTTTTCCTCGGTTCCTGATCAGCTGGGCTGTGGCTCGTACGTTGGTTTGCGTGCAGCCAGCAGTAACAGCCTGGTTGATCAGGCTCTGATCCACCAGGAGGCCTGGTCACAGACCGGGCTGCGGGGGCGTTGACCCCCAGAACTCTCTCCAGGTAATACTTCATCAATGAGGATACTTTTCCTCTCATACTCCATCACTGAGAGTTTTCCTCTCATACTCCATCACTGAGGATAGTTTTCTCTCAACTCCATCACTGAGATAGTTTTCCTCTCATACTCCATCACTGAGGATAGTTTTCCTCTCATACTCCATCACTGAGGATAGTTTTCCTCTCATACTCCATCACTGAGGATAGTTTTCCTCTCATACTCCATCACTGAGGATAGTTTTCCTCTCATACTCCATCACTGAGGATAGTTTTCCTCTCATACTCCATCACTGAGGATAGTTTTCCTCTCATACTCCATCACTGAGGATAGTTTTCCTCTCATACTCCATCACTGAGGATAGTTTTCCTCTCATACTCCATCACTGAGGATAGTTTTCCTCTCATACTCCATCACTGAGGATAGTTTTCCTCTCATACTCCATCACTGAGGATAGTTTTCCTCTCATACTCCATCACTGAGGATAGTTTTCCTCTCATACTCCATCACTGAGGATAGTTTTCCTCTCATACTCCACACGGGATTAGTTTCCAGTCATACTCCATCAAAGAATGGCTTTACTGTCAAATTTGATAACTGAATGATTTTCCTGATATACATCTCAGTTTTTCTGTCACACCCATGTAGGATGGTTTCCATGCCTTACTACACAGGATGATTTTCATGCACGAGGTAATGACAACTAGTACTTCCAAGCCTATAACTGATGTAAACTTTTCTATCAATTATATTGTCTCAGGAAAAATATTTTTGTTGAGTGAGGAATATCTAGATTTAATTTAATTTACTCTCCTGCCTTCCGCATAGCTTTTGCTTGTCTCCATGTGTAGAGTGGATGTGGCATGCAAAGAGTACGTAACCTTATATTCGCGCATGGACACCCTCATTTACAGGCTATCTCCCCCAACCCAGCGAACAAAGTTTGCTAGAGTTATGATGGGGCCCCATCGTTCAACTAGTGACCGGGTTTTCTAGCAATAAGAAAGGTGGGATAGCAATCGCAGAGTTATGTGGATACGCTCTCCTGTCTGCCCTTGTCATTCCCACTCTAGAGCTGGTTGAAGCACCGGTCTGCTACCCTTGTGGCTCTATTTCTGCTTTGCTTACCGTGGAGTGCACTATATTTATCACAGTACATAGTGTACATATTGTTTATATATTGGTGAAGGATAATAATAAGTCTAAACTTTTTCTACGTTTTATTTGCCTCCCATGTACACCTGGGATAACAGGCCATTTGAAAATCCTAGGTTGTAATAATGGGTAGCTGTCCAGAGCTTGGACTTAGAGAAACGTTTGAGCTTAGGGTGAACTTGTACAGGAACATTGTGTAGCTTGCTGTTCGCTTCGCTTTAACAAATTTTGCGTTCAGTTGCTTATGATCAGCCTTGCTATTGTGTGATCGTTCAACAGCTCGTATTTTAGCTTGTCCATGGCTCCGCTTCGCTACGGTCAATCTGTGTGCAGGTCCGGTTTGCTTGTATGAGTATTTGGCAATCGTACTGTGCATACCCTAAGCGGTGTTCTGCAAATTAACGTTTATTTGGGGTATTCGTTACTGTGCATAGCGAATAACTTTGCCACCTAGACGAGTCAAGACGCTGTTCGGCATATACTTTGCATAACCTACCTAAATTGTCCCTACAGCGTTGTTGCAAATTGCTCGTGCCATGGCATTCCTATAAACGCACTCTACAGCTGCGCAACTGCGTTCACTTATTGCTGACATACTTATGAAGAAGGTTTGGCACATCAAACCTCCCTTTTACGGGAGCTAGGGAAAAAACTATTTATGTTCTCGCAGGAGGAAGATGATACACCTACGGAGCAAAATGGGTCAGTATAGTGCAGCTGGGTTGTCTCAGGTGAACAGCGTCAGTTGCACTTGAGCTGGCAAAAATCAGGGCTGGAGCAAACTAGGAACAGAAGCATTCGCAAGGGAGAGATTTTGATAGGAAAGAGAGAGTAGGACAGTTTCGCATTCTGTAAACTATTTCAGTTTACAAAAGCAGTACGCTTGTTCCCCGCTTCAATGAGGCCGAACCAGAGCAATTTTCAAAAGCATTCGAAATCAGGACTCGTCCTTGAGGAGCCGGAAAGCACTGGGCAGCGTTGGTTCATACAGCATTATTGGTAAGGCACAGGAATTTCTTTCGGTAATTAACGACGTTTGAATTCGCGGGATTACAACCCCTCAAGGAAGGTTCCTTGATGTTGGTGAGGGGCTCTTGATTTAGGGAATTGGATCTGTGCTCCAGTTCCCCAAATAGCCTGAAAAATCCCTTCCAAAATCCCCCCCCCCCCCAGGCGCTGTATAATCCTCCGGGTTTAGCGCTTCCCCCTTGATTGTAATAATAATCTGATTATCAAGTAGTGAAGACCACAGTGTTGGGAGCATATACATGTATCCCAGCTAAATATCGTAAGACCTTCAAATTGAACAGGCGGCAGCTTGGTCAATCCCTGGTGGACTTTGTGAGACAGCAAACCAAAGCTTTTACCAGCTGGTATAAAGCGAGTGGTGTCTCTAACTTTGAGGAGCTGGTGCAGCTTATTCTGATTGATAACCTGCTGGAGTCTGTGGGACCAGAGGTTCGTGTCTTTCTGCAGGATCGTGACTTAACCACTGCATTGGAGGCGGCCAGGTTGGCTGATACCTTCGAAACGAACCGCTCCTTGTCCGAGCGGTCCCGTCTCTCTTTTCAACAGTCTGGCGTGAGCAGAGA